AACAGATCGTCGCGGCTCATCCCGGGCTTCCGGGGTATGCCCGCTGGAATAATGACCAGGTCCACGCCTTCCAGGGCCGAGTCGAGCTGGTCTTTCCCCAGGAATCCTCGCACCTAGAGCCATATTAGATAGACGCTGTGGAGAGCACAACGAGTTTGAAATCCACTCACCACTGCTGAGGCATCAATGTGACTCACGTCCGCAGTAACACCCGGAGTGTTGACCACGTCATACAGGTTCAACGTGGAGACTAAGGGATTCATTTTGAGTAGAAGCGAGAGGGGCTGGCCGATGCCTCCCGCTGCCCCCAAAATGGCCACCCTCGAACCCGTAGCACCACCCTTGGCACGGCACACCTCCATGGACACTCCATCGCTTGGATTGAGGTGTGATGACATCCGCCACAGCCGGCCGCGAGCACGACTCTCGGCCATTGCTCTTGTTGCCCTAATTTGAATTTTCTTTCACTCCCGATAAGCTCTAGCACACTGACACTTGTGGCTATTCTTGGTCATCCTTTTTCAATAATCTGCCCTTAACAAGTATTTTGTTTATTAGTATAAGGGACCATAATAGTAATTATGGCATAAAAAAATTTTATCATAAAAGTATTAATGTGATTCAGTATTACACACACCTGAGATTAGAATATAAAAAAATAAATGAGTATGAATGATAAGGGCTATAAAAAATTAAGAAGATGATATTTATAATAAAAATATAGGTAGAAATAGATATATATTATCATAAAAAAAGACATTATTTAAAAAATATTTAATATATTATGATAGTTTTATTTACATGTTATTTGAAATTCATAGTGAAGGGATGAAATCCTTTTTTTGTAAGAAGAAATATTTCTTTGTATACTATATAATTAAAAATAAAATTTAGAAGTAAACTAAATATTAGAATTATATACATATAATTTAGGATTAATATGAATTTTATTTATTTATTTATTTATGATATAATATTTGTGTGTATCTCTAACAAATTTATATAAAATTTAAGGTGTGTGTATATGTATGTGTGTAATTACTTTAATGCACTATAGCATATAATTCATCCATTCGTCCATTTGAAACTAAATTTGATCCATCCATTCTTATATATAAATAAGGGCCAGTTAATATGCTTATTCCTATAGTACTCATAATAGTATTTATTTCACAAGAAAGTAAGATGAGCCATTATGGTTTAATATATAATTTCTAATACTACAAAGTAAATATGCTATTTTTAATAGTCTAGGATATGAATTGTTTAATAGGGATTAAATCTGATCCATCTATTCATGTATATAAACATTCATTTTTGTACTCATGGGAATCACAAACATTTTTTTGTTTTTGGATTTTGTATTATTGTCATAGCATAATTAGGTAACTTGGCAGAAATGGATTAGTATAAAATTCAGTTCAAGCAAATCCCGAAGAGGTATGATCAAACTTTCATCATCAGCAAAGCAAACCCATACAAAGCTCACAAAGCATCCATCAGTATGCTTCAAGTTGTGCACTGCGAAACTATCAAAACACCATATAGATAGATAAATAGATTTCTTTTTCTCCATAGAAGCGAGGTGTTAGCAAAGTAGCAAAAAGGCATGACTATCAACGTTGCTGCTAGAGGAAGTTGTTTGCAAGCAAAAACACACTGGCACATGGTGCGCTCGTGGAGGAATACTTTGACTGTGGCATAGGAGAGTCTAGATGACTCTTCATTACCTTTATTTGCAAGAAAGCATCCTAAAGTTCAACTGTATACTCACATTGTGACGAGTCTTGGTAGGGGAGCTATATTATACCCAGTACTAGCTAGACGTACCATTGACGAGTTCCTTGCTGAGTAGCGGTATAAATCAAGGATGTCTCAGTGCATGCGCAGTGGAGTGGAGTCACTGAGCAGAAGTATGGTTTCTTGGGTTGGGTTTAGTGCACTTCTTGTGTTGGCTGCCTCCCATGAAATGAGTGCAACCTTGAGTCCTACATTTTACGATGATTCATGTCCGGATCTGAAATGGATAGTAGACAGTGTTCTCCAAGCTGCATTACTCAAAGATCCCAGAATTGGAGCCAAGCTTCTAAGAATGCATTTCCACGACTGTTTTGTTCAGGTAAGTCACCCAAAGTTTAGAGACGTTTTCTTACGACACTCAAACAGGGTTGTGATGCCTCCGTGCTGCTGGATGAAGCACAAGGAGAGAAAACTGCTCAGCCAAACTTGAACTCGTTGATGGGTTTTGATGTTGTAGATTCCATCAAGAGTGCAGTGGAAAGTGCGTGTCCAGGAATTGTTTCATGTGCCGATATCCTGGCAGTAGCAGCTGAAGTGTCCGTAGTGTTGGTACGTTAATACATTGACTTTTCATTTTCTTTGACGGGCGTGTGTGATGCTAGGCTGGAGGGCCATCTTGGAAGGTGTTGCTGGGAAGGCGAGACAGCTTGACCGGAAGCAAGAGGCTTGCAAACAGGGACATTCCGCCGCCAACTTCCACCTTTTCCCAGCTGGTGAAGGCGTTCAAGAAGAAAGGCCTGTCGGCGGAGGACATGATCGTCCTTTCGGGTCTGTTGTGGATTCGAAAAATGGAATTGTTACTGACCGTGTACGCTTGGAACAGGCGGGCACACGATTGGAGCATCCCGTTGCGCGAGTTTCACGCAGAGGCTGTATAACCAGAGCGGGAGTTTCCAGGCTGATCCAACAATCGAGAAGCGCTACCTGTTCAATCTACAGCAGGTGTGTCCCAGGAATGGAGACGGCAACGTGACACAGTCTCTTGACTTCAGCCCCCGGTCCTTCGACAACAACTACTACAAGCTTGTGGTGTCGAATCTGGGGCTCCTCAACTCGGACCAAGTATTGACGACACAGTCTCAGGGTAGCGCCGCTCTTGTGAGTGCCTTGAGCAGGGACCAGACGAGCTTCTTCAATAGGTTTGCAGTGTCCATGGTTAAGATGGGGAACATTTCCCCTCTGGTTGGCAACAAGGGGGAGATCCGGAATAAGTGCCGATACAGGAACTAAAAAACTGTCCCGGCCTGGTTTTGCATAAGAAAGTGATGTATACCACCTCTCTAAATAAACTTGTGAGCTCCGCTCTGCTCCGCTAGCTCTCTCTTGCACAGATGCCAGACATCATTACGTAGGCTGCAGCATTCTTGGTGTCATCGCCCTCCACTGCCACGAGTTCATCGAACGCACGCTTGGCTACTTGTGCGCTAGCAGCGAAGGTCGACGACGTCGTGCAAGCCGCAAGCAGTGTGGTCCATGTCACCGCATTCGGTTCCACACCCTGCGTAGCCATGGCCTCGACCACCTCCAAGGCCTCCTCCACCCGGTTTGCACGGCCCAGCATGTCAACCAGACAGTGGTAGTGCTCAATCTGGGGCTTGACACCGGCTCGGTCGAAATAGTACTTGCCGGTGTCAACCAGACCCGCACGGCTGCATGCGGCGAGCAGGCATGTTAGAGTGGTAGCATCGGCGACCACCCCTTCCTCCGCCATTTGCCGCAGCCACAAGGCAAGGCTTTCCGGGTTGCCTTGGCGGCTCAAGCCCGACAGCAACGCATTGAGGGTCGCGGCACCAAGTGGAGAAGCAAGCGACTCGAACAGCAGCTCACAACGGAGCATGCAACCACACTTGGCGTACAAGTCGACGACGCATGTCTCCAAACGCCGACGACTGCTCGCTCCTCCTTCTAGTAATCCCAGCCTGCAGACTTGGGCGTGGATTTGGCGGCCAGCATCGAGGGCAGCAGCACCAGCAGCGGCTTCGAGTGCTACTGCCAAGGCCCCCGCGTCCAGCGTTGCTAACTGCCACGAAAACAAGAGAGTGAGAGCTACGAGTGGCTGGCCCGCCTCCGTGTAGCCGGAGACGAGCGACGTCAAAGCAGGCAGCAGCAGATGATCGTCCTTGCCGTGCTCCAGGAGCGCCCGCCTCCACACCCGTGCCGCATCTCCCAACGCCCCACACTTGATATACATCAGCACCAAGCTATTTGCAAGCCGAGGATTACAACCAAGTGCGCTGCAGCGAACATACTGCTCCAGGGCCATGCCTGTCTCCAGCAGCGCAATGTTGCTGCTCCCCGCTCGTTTGGACGCCAGCCCGGTGACGGCCTTGAGTGCAGCCACCAGAGTGTGGGCATTGGGCTCCAGCTCCACGTCTTGGCATCTCATCCTCGCAAGGAGCTGCAGAGCCGACTCTTCGTCACCCGCATCCACAAGACCCGACATGAGACACGTCCAGGACACGATGTTTCTGCACCGCATTTGCTCGAATACCCTCGTCGCATCCAGCAGGCTCCCACACCTGGCATACATTGCTACCAAGGAGTTGGCCACGAAGACATGACTAGATGAATCTAGCCCGGGTGCAGCAACGGCTTCCAGAAGGAGCTTGTGAATCCACATTCCTCTCTCCAGAGATGTGAGCTTGATGACGTTGTGCACACCGTCAAGGAGTTGGCCTTGTTCTTGCACTGCCATCTCCGCCACCGCCTTGAGGGCTGCTGCCAGCGTGTGAGCATTGGGGGGGCATGTCATGGCGGCCAGGACCGCGAGTGCCGATTGCTCCTCCCCGTTGTGTGTGTAGGCCGACATGAGCGACGTCCAGGTGTAAACTGTGTGGCTGGCCGCGGGGATGCTGTCGAAAGCACGCTCCGCATCACACAGGCTCCCGCATTTGGCATAAGCATCCACAAGGCTGCTGGCCAGCAGAGAGTTGGCAAGTAGTGGGCCGCTTGATGCGTGGATGGCCATGCAAATCGCTAGGCATCTCTGCTGCTGGTCCGATTGCTTGGCTGCCAGCCCCGAGGAGGCCTTGAGCGCAACCACGAGAGCCGAGGAGTCGGGAGCACAATCGATCATGCCCAGAAGCTCCAGAGCCATGCCTTGTTCATGGTTATCAGCGTAGCACAGCATCATGCACGTCCACAGCACCACGTCCGGGTGGCGGACCCTGTCGAACACTTGACGGGCTTCCAGCAGGCTGCCATGCTTGGAGTACATGGTGATCAATGCAGTGGCGACGCGAGCCTCCGAATCCAGTCTCATGTCCCGAGCGTGCCTGTGGATGGCAAGGCCTTGGGCGCGGCTGGAGCATGCCTTGAGCGCAATGAGGAAGGTTACCCTGTCGGCTGGAATGATGCGATGGAGGAGCAAGCGCAGAGCCACGTCGGGGTGGCCGGATTGCGCGTAGGCGAGCATGAGCAGGTTCCAGGACGCGGAGGTGTGGCGGGGCATGGCGTCGAAGGTCGTGTGAGCCATGGTGGCACAACCACACCTGGCGTACATGCTCAGCAGCGCATTGGCAACCCGCAGGCCCGAGTCGTCCCCCGTCCTTGCAGCGTCCCCGTGCACCACTCTCCCGCGCTGCTCGTTGGCACACGCCTTGAGCGCAGCCACCAGGCCACGCACCCTCGACGCATCACTGGTCATTGCGATTAGGGCAGGAGCGCATGGACAAGCCGCGCACGCCGTGGCGCCGCCGGCTGCAAGGCCTGGATCTCCTCCTTGTGCCACTCGTCGCTGCCCTCCATGTCTTGATGGCACCCTACACCAAAGTGGAGGAGAGCTTCAACACACAGGCAAGCCTCGCGTTTATGGCTCTTTCTTAGCTCAATCCTCCGTCCAGGCAATGCACGACATTCTCTACCATCACTACCATCTCCAAGAGGTGAGTGAGAGCACTCGTCCAGCCACTTGAGCCTTGTCTTCCTTTCCAGTATGACCACCTGGAGTTTCCCGGCGTTGTCCCCAGGACATTCATTGGTAAGCTAGAACTCCTCTTCTTCGTTTCCAGCACACTGTGTCTTCCAGGGGCACTGGTCGTGTCGGCGTTGGCTTCGCCGTATGTCACTCTGTTCAAGCTGCTTGGCCTCCCCAAGCTCTACTCCCTCTGCGCCGGTGAGCACATAGAGCTGCTTTCTTTGCCAAGCTCACGTCCTCGCTCGCTAGTTCGTCTCGTGCTCGCCAGCATCGTTTTGGGAAGCATGTCCCTCATGCGTCGTGCCATCAGCAACGAGTTTGGGAGCACGGTCGCAAAGGCGTTTACAGTTATCACAGCAGTGCAATTCCACCTCTTGTTCTATTGTTCGCGGCCACTTCCCAACGTCTTTGCTCTCGCCTGCGGTACGTCCCAGTCGTTTTCATGTGCTGAGCCTCATTCTTGCAGTCAATGTGGCCTATTATTTCTGGATCCGAGGCAAGCCGAGGGAAACACTGATCTCTCTGGTAAGTCGAACCATTATCCTTAACCTGTCAAGCTTTTCTATCCAGGTCTTCGGTATGGTGGTCTTCCGATGTGACATAATACTTCTGGCTGCTCCGATTGGATTGAGCTTTTTCATTGTGAGTCCGTGGATCTTATGACCGAGTGTTGTTCCTCATGCATGCGGCTGCTGTTATGACAGACAAGATCCGTGACTGTGGCAGATGCGCTCAAGTGGTGCATCCCCGCAGCCATTGTAAGTGCTGGTACGAGCATAACTGGGCTTCCTGTGGGCGAGGCTGACGGGGGACTGGCCTTGCAGGCTTAACGTTCGCGGTGGACTCCATCCTGTGGAGACGATGGGTGTGGCCCGAGTGGGAAGTCTTTTGGTTTAATTCCGTTTTGAACCGCAGTTCCGAGTGGGGTGTCTCTCCCTTCCACTGGTATTTCTCTTCTGCGCTTCCACGAGCTATGCTGGCTGCTTATCCATTGTCATTTGTAAGCTTGATGACAAGCTTGGATTATCTCACCTATTCGTCACCTGCATCGCATGCAGGTGGGATTGGCTCTGGACAGGAGAATTCGGAGGCTTGCGCTTCCAGTATACGGCTTTGTCATCCTTTATTCCAAGCTTCCTCATAAGGTTTGTCCTGTATATCCTCGAGCTGGACTGACACATGCTTGTCACGCAGGAACTGCGCTTCATTCTGTTTGCTGTACCAATGCTTAACCTGGCCGCTGCGGCAGCCATAGCACGCATGTAAGTAGCTGTTTCAACTGTCAAAGCGCTGCCTACACTCGACATACAGATATAACAATCGTCGTAAACGACTCTGGTCCCTTTTCTACAATGCCAGCCTTGTTCTCTTGACTGCAAGGTGAGCATTGCGCTTGATTTCAAGGTGGTCGCGACTAATAGCAGGGAAGAAACACAGCTTCTCGTTTGCTTTGCTGTCGGCAGTTGCATCGTACAGAAATTATCCTGGCGGCCAAGCTATGGCACTGCTTCATGATCTAGGTTCGTCAATCCACTTGTAACTCACTTCCAACCCTGGCGAAACCCAGATACTGGCGGCCAAGAGGCTCGCAGGTCTGTCCATATCGATGTTCTTCCGGCAATGACGGGTGTCTCACGCTTCTGCGAGAGAGGACCGCCATGGAGGTAAGATTGCAGATCAACTTCTGCCTGTCTGTATACCTCAATGTGCGATCGCATTTGCAGTTATTCCAAGCGAGAAGGATTAACGCCCCGCGAGCTGCGTGAGAGCAACTTCACGTACCTTGTGAGGTAAAGTGAAGGAAGGTGGTGTCCAGTGGAATGACTCGTTTGCTGCTACAGCGCACAGGCAAATGTCGCTGGATTCGAGCGCGTGTTTGCAGTGGAGGGGTTCTCGAGGATAGCCTTGCAGCCTTCATCCTTTCCGCCTCTGATAAGACTGGTGAGTGAACTGATTGTTTTGCGCTACCGTACACAGACAAAAGGGATTGTCTCCACTCCAGGTGAGCGAGCCCCAGGTGTACGTTCACGTTCGAAGCAGATAATGTGGAGTCATTTGAACTTTTGTCCCTTTGGCGGGAAGCTGGTGTTTAGAGAGAGAGAGAGAGGGGAGAGAATCTAGGGCTTGAGAAATGGAGAATGGCGCCCCACAGCTCAAGCGGGCGAGGAGGGAGGCTTGTGAGCGCTTCAGCAAGCTCCAGCAAGCCTTCTCCATGGCTGTGCACTGTCTGCTTACATCCTGCTCCCGCCAGGTGGAGCTAGCGCATAGGACTTTCTTGTTTTAACCCTGTCATTTGGGGCAGGAGTTTCTGGAGCATTTCGATTTCCTGGAGCCGGAAATGCAGGGCCACACCTACGAGCTCTACACGGAAGTAAGTAGAGGCTGCTCCCCATTTTCAACCATGTTTCTTACTCTGCCCGCTTCTCAAAGGTTGTGGCAGCTGTGCACAGAGCTTCGAAGGTATGTTTTAATTCCTTGAGCCCGGCGAGTGTTTACTCCTTTCCTTGCTTCTTCTTCTTTTTCAAGAGTGAGTTCGACACCATTTGCAAGGAGATGAAGGTAATCTAGTGCGTGCCTGCGGGTCTCTGATCAACTGTTTTGCGTTCCAGCTTAAATCTGTTCTTGCTGGCATTGACAAGAAAATTGCTCGTGCTGCCAAGAGGTACTCTACCGAGAGAGAGAGAGAGAAGAGAGAGGGTAATTGCTGTTTCCAGGACAAACGATGATCTAGGGGAGAAGAGATTTACACCTCCAAGTCTCATGGTTGTAAGTGGAGCGCTTGACGTGAAACAATCAGAAGTTGAAGAATTAAAGCGCCTTCTTATTGAGGTAGCATGGCCTTGTACCTGTGTGAGAATCAAAAGCACCGGCTCTCTTGCAGGAAGAAGAGCACAAGTCTCAGCTGTGTGCCCGCATCGACGGTATGCGGGCTGAAATCGAAGCCATGGAAGGCGATGGTCTGCATGTTCCCGGGAATGTAAGTGATGCATAACATCCTGATTTCGAGTAATCTGTTTTGGATGCAGTTGAGGCTACCTCTCTTGAGATCGTGAAGCCCTGAAGTGTATGTAGCGTAAAATCCTTCATTGCTCGTATTCTTTTTCATCTAGAAATACAAGTTTGTGTACTGGCTGAAATCAGGAACTTGTGCGTTCTCCATTCAGGAGGGCGATGGCGATGCGTGGGCAGACATGTCAACCGGGTACCTGTGCAGGCAATCCAGCCAGGGGTTCCTGTACGGCTTGTCAAGGTTCCTGGTGGCCCTCCACACGACACTGTTGCACTTGAATCCAGAGCCAAAAGCTATCTGCCACACTCGGTCGCCCCGCCTGATTCTCTCCTTGGCTTCGGAGTAGGCAAGCTCGTACCACAGCGAGCTGCTGGACGTGTTGCCAAACCTGTGGAGAGTCATCCTTGCAGGCTCCATATGCCAGCTTCCCAGCTGCAAGTTCTTCTGGATCTCGTCCAGGACGCCCCGACCTCCAGCGTGGATGCAAAAGTGCTCGAATGCCAGCTTGAAGTCCGGAATGTAAGGCTTGACGTGCTTCATGTGGAGGATCCTTCGAGCCACGAGATGAGCCACGAAGATTGCCTGCTCCGAGATGGGAAGGACCAAGGGACCCAAGGTGCTGATGTTGGTCTTGAGAGCTTCGCCGGCAACAGCCATGAGGTTTTTGGACAGCGATACCCCTCGCAAGCCGAGCTCGTCTTCCCTCTGCTCCACGCATCCAAACGACTTGTCGTCGGCCCCCTTGTGCGTCCTCACCGAATGAACCAGCTCGTACTTTGCACGGTGGCGGTCCCTTGTCCGGTTTGTGAGCAGAATTGCAGCGCCACCGATGCGAAACAAGCAGTTGGTGACGAGCATGGAGCGGTCGTTTCCCACGTACCAGTTCTGGGTGATGTTCTCGGTGCTGACGATGAGCGCACACGAGTTGGGGTGAACTCGGAGCAGGTCCTTGGCGAGGTCGACGGAGATGAGGCCCGCACTGCATCCCATTCCGGCCAGGTTGAAGCTCTTGATGTTCCCGCGGAGCTTGTAGTGGTTGACGATCATAGCGGAGAGGGAGGGCGTTGGATTGAAGAGGCTGCAGTTGACGATGAGCATCCCAATGTCCTTGGGCTTGACGTGGGTCTTGTCCAGCACCTCGTCAATGGCTCCAAACATGACTTGCTCTGCCTCCCTTCTCGCCTGCCTCATACTCGGCTCGGTGCCAGGCTCGTCAAAAACAAATGCGGGCACGTACGTCTCGGGCCCCAGGCCCGAGCGCCACACCACCTTCTTCTGGAACTCGAGGCTGGCGTCGTTGAACTTGCCAGACTTGGCAGCAAAGTCCTCAAGCACCTCCATGGAGCACTTGTACCTGTCGTCGGGCTTGTAGCAGGCGAAGTCCAGGAGGTAGACTCTCCGGGGGCGAGCCATGAAGTAGACGGTGGCCAGGAAGACGAAGGCAGCGGAGCAGAAGAGCACGTTGATGAGGTTGAGGTGGAGGCTCTCCCACAGCAGCCATATGTGCTCTCGCCTCCCCACCCGTCCAATCTCGGCGGCGGCGGCCACCAAGAGCGGGAGCAAAGCCAGGTACATGAAATGCTTGAGCGCGTAGTGGTATCCCAGCTTGACATACTTGAGACTGACCGACTGCAAAAAGTCTGGGATCACCAAATGCTGCTGGATCCTGATTGCCACGCTCTTGCAACTATCATCGCCCGCCATGCCTCGACTCTCGGGGAGCTGCTAAGAACTTAGCAGGGAGCGAAATAGGGTGCTACGAGCGGTGCACGGGAGGGAGCACGCCGCGCCGCTCAACCGCTGCTCTCAAGGGAGATCCGATTCTCTCCTCTATCACGCTTTAGGTGAAGCCGTCGTAGTCCTCCTTCCCGTGACGAGGCCGTGTTCGAGCGGATTCATATGCCTAGGGGCCTCGGCCAGTGGGGCGCGCCAGCCACTATATTTGTGCCCCTCCCGCCAAAACTCCTCCCGAGTCGCCTCCCACTTGCTCGTTTCGTTTTCTAGTTAATCACAACAATTATGGCAGCAATGACGCCCGGCTGCCACGTTGACTTGGAGAAAAGATCACACCGCACGAGAGATTCCTGACACCCAGGTTTTATAGTGCATTGACCCCCACTGTTGACCAGGCCGCCCATGTCAACAAGTCGTCTGGCTTGCTTTGCGCAATGCCTCTCACTCACTCGACTCAGCAAAACGGCTGGCCTTTGTTTTTTACCTCCCTTTATAAAGCCCAGCCATCCATCGCATCGGTCATCAACACCGCCAGGCCCTTCGCCTGCCTACTCGCGCTTGGCCTCCTCCATGTCATTCAAAGCCTTCTCGGCCCTGTCCACTGCGTCTGGCAGCTGGCTCTCGGGCGGAAGCAGCCCCAGGAATGGCAGCGGAAGTAGCGACGACAGGTTGGTCACCAGTACTAACACGGCCAGATTGTCAAAATTGTGGCTTGACACGCCCAATAACTGTGTCAAGCCCGCACCCATGAGCCCCCCAAGCACCCCCGCGCCATTGCTGATAGACATGAGCGTTGCAAACAGCGTGGCTTCTACACCTGGCGGGCATAACTTGGCTGCCAGAACCAAGACTGGCATGAAAGAAACCTGTGGTACAACCAACACACAAAGAGTTAGCTCTTTCCCTCGGCTGGCACACATACAACTGTATGTATTTATTATGCACCTGGCCAAGGACGGTGAGCACTAACGAGTCCCCCATGGAAAACCATTCATCGCTAATGCCCAAACTGCGATTCCAACCGTTGACAAGCATCAACTGCAGGCGTGCACGTCCGTCATCATCCGTGAATTGAAAACGCAAATCTAGATTTCTAGTTATCACCTGCGTGCAACCCAATCCAACTCCCAGTAGCGTGGTCCAAAAGAACATTCTCCTGAGCGGCACATGCTTCAGCAAGCTGTTGTATACGCCCACTCCAGCAAGAGAAGCCATCGCAGTTATGAGCCTCACCCGCCCAAGGAACTCCGGTCCAAAACCCAGCTTGTTTGTTCTGCAAAACATGTTGGTTAAACTAGTCGAGCAACACAAGCAGCTTACGTGAAGTAGAACATGGCGGTGTCGGAAGATGGGGTGGCCTGCCACAGAAATATAAACAGCGTGGGGAGAAAGATTGTTGGCTCCCGAACAGTCCTCCACAAACGCAAGCTTTGCTTCTTCGCGGATTGGAAGACACCATCTGATCGAAAGTCCACTCTGAGATCATCAGCTGTACCGGACGCTTGGATATTCCAAGCGGGCTCTTCCTGTACAAGCCCGGCAACGGCTGACGTGATAAGTGGAAGAAGAGATGTGACGCCGAAAACAAACCTGCCTCTTTGGGATCAGACTGGAACGTGAAGCATGTTTAACCGTACCTCACACCATAAGTCTGAACAAAATAGCCACTGAAGTATGCACTGATAATGCCCCCAGCTGCCGAAGATCCCCAGCAGAGCGACTGAAGCGATCCAGACGTATCTTGCGATTCACCCCGTGCCCTCTCAACAACCATTGAGTCGACCACCTTGAAATTAGTATAGTTAGTTCTTCTCCTTACAACATCTGAGGCGCCACTTACAACATCTGAGAAAGCCACGGATAGAGAACTAAGGAAAATCATGGCCACGGCACCATACTTATCGGTTACAAGCGCGGACAACGATCCCCACGAAACCGCTCCAAGAAGTCCGCAAAGTACAAGATATGATCGTCGCCTGTAACCAAACAGAGGGAGCCCGTCGCTGGCACGAGGAAGCACTGAAAGAATTAGTACTGAAGCGAAGCTGGTGCGATGATGGATCCCGCAAACCTTATAAAGCCATAGAGAGGCTTGACGAGCCACGGGAAAGCAGAGAATCCAGATAGAATAGCTGTCTGATCAACGAGACGAGGTTAACGAAAAGGAAACGAGACTGGCGGACTAACCTCTGCTGGATCGAGATGAAGATCATCCTTTAGGAAGAAACTGACAGCAAGCCTGGAAAGTCCGAGAATGCCTTGGACAAAGTAGACCATGGTTATGGCAACTATGTCTGGAGAGAATTCCACTCCTAGAATGTGCTGCGACGCCTTGGTCTTGACAAGAGAGCTCCAGCGCCTGATTTCGCTCCCTAAGGAGCTCATGGCTGGCGGCTGCTCGGGAATGGAAGCGTGGTTGCCTTCCTCCTCTGGGGACAAAGATTGGAGTGTAAACAAAGAAGCACACACACACGTACCACCGTTGACGTGTTGCATTTCGATGGTCCGATGCTTGTGATGATCTTGCTCCATTCTCCTGGCTGCACATACGATGACCCGCTGTACTCTTGCCGGCCTAGCTCGCACTCTCCGCCATGGCCTCTCAACCCTAACCCTAGAGCAGTAGCTGGGCGTGGCTACCACGGCTGCCATAGCGCGCCAACACCTTGCGTTTTCGCGTTTTATGCGCCCAGGAATCGAGCCAGGGCTGTTCTTCCTTTTAAAAACACAACCTAAATAACCGCCAACCGGGGAGGAGGATGGAGCCAGAGGTGGCCAAGGCCGAGGGGCCGGACATGGGCAGCGCGGTGGACAAGGCCGAGCGGGCAGCGGAGGTGGCATCGGGCTCCAAGGGCATTGCGGAGGGGCTGGAGCGAGGCAAAGCGTCGGAGAAGTTGCTGGAAGAGGACAGCCGCTTCGCAAGGGTGGCTCGCAGCGAGATTGGATTGCACGGTGCTGGCTGCCAACGACAAGGCGCTCGAGGACAAACTGGTCAAAAACGATAGTTTTTCTGGAGCATCAAACACACGGGCTTGAGCATCCATCAACTCGGGCCTTCGTGTACATGGACAACTTCTTTTCAGTAACATCTTCACTGAGGTCTGTCCACACCTTCTTGTGCGGTTCCGCCATCGCCCTCACTCTCCGCAGCAGCAGCAGCGGCAGCAGCTTCCCTCTCGGCAAGCTTCCGGCGGGCCAACTTGATGCTACGGGGCACGTAGATCCTGGGCTTGCGGATGTTGCGTGGCGGCATGGTCCACGGAACCAGGGGCTTGTCATCAAACGGATGCCTCTCGTCCGCAAACACCCTCAGCTTGAGCATCCGCCTCTGCAGCCAAGCAACCAATCACACTCTGAGCTGGTGCAACAAAAGTCCTTACTCGGTGCAGCCTGTTGCGCGGCATCATCCGGAAGACGGCCTTGCGCAGCGGCAGCGTGGGATCCCTCTCGATCATGTGGTTGAGCTTTATCTGCTTGAGGTGCCCAATGTAGCTGCCACAAGGGAAGAAAAAAAGAAAAAAAGACTATACGGATGCCAAGGCGGGCAGCAGCGTTACCCCGTGTGCCAGTAGTAGACCTTGTTCTTGAGCTTCCAGCCGCCGGTGTAGGTGATGTGCTTGGCATTGATCACCACGCAGATATCTCCCTCGTCCTTGTTGGGGCTGTAGGTTGGCTTGTCCTTGCCCATGAGCACAATGGCCAGCTTGCTCGCCAGCCTCCCTAACACCTGCAAGCCCTGATCAAGCCATGCCAGCGTCGAGAGACGAGACCAAAACCTCTTTCTTGGCATCGATCAAGAGCCACCTCCGGCCTTCGGTCACCTGGGGAATCAGCCCCGCCCGCAGTTTCTGCCACAAGCCCACCGCATTGCTGCTCGCGTTTTCCAATCAGCGCTTACCCGCCAGGCCGCAGCGGCTGCAGCCATCCCCTCGCTAAAGCCCTAGCAAAACCCTAGCGCACCCTGTTGATCGCGCGGCAGCTCCGCCGGACCTGTCCGGCGGCGCCCGTGAGCGGCCTGATGCCTCCCATCCGGATCATGGACGCGGCGAAATGCGCGAAGAAGGTGGGCTGGTCGTAGGCGTACTTGGTGACGAGCGCGCGGGTGAGCGGCGACTGGTACGTGAGCACCTGGTCCGAGTTGAGGAGGGCCTTGCGCTCCAGGAGGTTGCGGAAGTAGTAGTTGTCGAAGCGATGCGGGGACTGGTAGTCGAGCGCCAGCGTCTGGTTGCCGTGGCCAAAGCGCGGGCAGTGGATTCGGGAGCGTACCAGCAGCTCCCTGCCGAACTCGGGGTCGGCACGCAGCGTTCCCGTGTGGTTGTAGATCCGGGGCTTGAAGGTGGTGCAGCGTGCCAGCCCCAGTGTGTGGCTACCTGCCAGACTGGGAGCGTCGTCACAAGTTACACCTTGGAAGGGCTCACGAACCTGAGAGGATCACCATGTCTCGGACCGACAGCCCTTGCTTCTGGAACAGGGACACCAGCGTCGAGACGTTGGACGTTGGCGGGGGGATGTCGTTGTTTGCGGTAATGCGGCTCGCGCTCAACGCGTCCCTTCTTCCCACCTCCACACTCCATCTCGGCCCGCCCCTCTGCATCCATCGCTTTTACCACCCGTGAGCTTGGAAGAACAACGCTATACAGTTACCATCTCAACGGAGAGCTGAGCAGCGAGTGCGAGGATGTCCGCGCACGACACAACGCCCGGGCAGTTCCTCTCCAGCGCCGCTTTCATCTCATCTACAACCTCGAATCCGCGCAGCGAGTTTGCGTTTGGGAGTGCCGTCTTCTCTCCAGTGAAGCCCGGAAAGTCATCCAGCAACACGGAGCCGTCGCAGCCCTGCCGCACAAGAGGTTGTGTGGATGATCCATCACAATGCCAGGGACACTACTTACGTTGACGAAGCAGTCGTGGAAGTGGAGACGAAGCAACGATGCCGCCATCCTCTTGTCTCGCTTCAAGGCTTTCTTCAACACACCGAGGACCGTGGCCCGAGCTTCCGGGCAGGACTCGCTATAGAAGTCGGGGCTCAGTGCAAGACTAGCGCATTGCAAAGCAGCCATGACAGTAATCACAAAGAGCTTCATGCGAGAAGTGGCAGAGCTAAAACGATGGAGAAATGATTTATAGCAGTTATTTTCAACCAAACCAGTTTTACAAACCGGGCAAGGGAACAAATTTGCTTGCGCATTCTCTGTCCTTCCACCCTTCTAGTCCTCACTGAAATATCTAATCGAAGGTACGTCACAAAAGCCCACTCTGGCTGTTGTGGTGTTGCTCGTCTCTGTAACTGTGCAGCACAAAAGACCATTCAATAGTATGAGCAACTCTTTTCTGGCTAGAAACACAACAAACTCTCACTCTCTTCTACTTGAGCACAGTAACTTGAACTTTACACCTGCACGGGACTGCCTCGCAGATCCTGGTGGACACAACCTCAAGCTCGATGGTGCGACCTGTCAATGCAAACTTTCTAGTGCTCGACTTCCTGGCTTTTACCAGCCTAGCTCGACGACTCCAGCCTCTTGACACTTTACCTTCTCTCTTGCTAACAATCACCTTACCAGTGCCGCTCGCCTCGGCCCTTGCGAGCCTGAAAGTTCTCGAGCGCGACCCTGGCCGCCTTGAATCCTTGGCTGTAGCAGCCGTCGTCACCTGCTTTGTCACCAGCGCTGCGGAAACACTCGACGGCCTCGCCCTTGGATCGTCCTCTTTCTTCTGGCACTGCCTGAAAGCAGATGTCTTGGCAGCTCCGCCTTGTCCCTCGATCAACCACCTAAAAGCTAGGAAAATGTAACCTTGAACAAGATAGACAGATGGCTTACTTCTCCCACAGCTTCTTGCCCTGCTGGACGTGTCTGTCCATCTCGTCACAGCACTGCACAAAACAGCTCATGGAGTTATGAAGTTTCCTAAGCTAGAAAACGAACTTGTTGCCAGTGCTGCGTGCAAGGGGCGATCGTCAAATATCGCCAGCAGATGAAATTGTAAGACTCAACGTTGTGCTCCACCTGCACCGACGCGAAACAGATCGCAAGCCTTAGACGACGAGCAGAGTGTGTGTACCGGAAGGCCAATGCGTATCTTGAGCACAGTGTGCATGTGGTTCTCGTATGCTCGCTTGTAGTTCTCGACAATGCTCGATATACTGTAAGCTAAAAGCCAGTGTTTGAGGGAGAGCGATATTGAGCATCCTTACTTGTCGTAGTCGAACTCCTTGTTCATGAGGTCCGTCCGCCGGCTTATCCCAAACGCGCCATACTTGTCCCCGTAGCGAACCAGTAAGACTATATGTTGGTGCACCTGTACTTCAGTATACATTCGACCATCAGTCTATCGGATCCACGGAAGAGAGAAGCATTTTGTATGGCACCTTGTCGTCCTCTTGTGTCTTGAAACTCAAAGGGATGCGCTCAACATCCTGCATGCCTGCCTGCGCACGAGTAAGGAAAAGCTGTCTGAGTTGCATCTGGCACAAGAACCTTACTGTGAGATACAGCGCGAGAAAAACTGCTTCCACGCACTTGATCGGTTGCGGTGAATAGATCATCTGAGAAACATACACGCGAGAAGCATACCCATGAGAACGATGTAGTTGCTTACCATCTTCGCAGTGTCCATGATGCGTGACAGTGGTCTGAACTTGTGAGAGTTGAAGCTGGTTGTCGGTGTTTGCTTGTACTCAAACGAATTTATGTACTGCAATCCGAACATCAGGCATCCATCCGTATTCGTCCTCGCATTACAAAATTCAAACACTTACGTGCTGGATCGCTTTGAGACGCGCTGGAGCAGGAAACTTGAAGAAATTATTGGGGAGCTGAGGCCTCTTAGCTGCTGTTGCCGAAGGATGAGCGCCAACTCCAGCTGCAATCGCGGCTTCCATGCTGAGAGAAAAAAAAAGCCACTTTAGCTAGTCCGAAATACGGTATACTTGAGATGAGAGTTCGGCACCTGTCCATTACTCGAAACCTTTGGCAACTACAGTCTGCGGTGTCCCATCCCTGAAAGCAGGCACTTTGCTTGAGTCACTATCATGAGGAGTAGCAACAACGAGGGCAAACGCATCGAAAACTCATCCACGACAGCATCTCTATAGAGCATACTCCAAACCACGGCCGCATTTCCAATGAACTAGCCTCGACACAAATGGAGGACCCCTTCTTGCTTGCTTCCGTTATCTACGCCATAGCCCGGACTAGACCAGAGAGAGCGGGAGAGAGGAACCTCTTGGGCGCCGGCACTCCACAGGGAGGGGCGGGGACGAGGACAGCCGTGGGATAAGTGGCTGGGGCCACGTGTCACGCTTGCGCGTAACAGATGACGCTTGATGCTTGCTGACTCAACCAGATATAGATCCCCGGAGCATATTCCCATTCAAACTTGAATGAGCCGCGAGCAAACGTCCCCGATGGAAACACCCGATTGCTTGTCGTCCCTCCGCTCTTCTCCGTGAATCGATGACGACCCCGCTGCGAAGGACTGGTGGGGATTGCAAATCACGAACGCGAGCTGGCCCTGCTCGTTGAAACCGGCGGAGCCAGATGCCCAGACCAGGCCATCCGTCTGGATCCTCAAGAACTTGTCCTCCTTCACCGTCACTCTCCCCTCTCCGAGCGCTGCACTGGACTTGGAGCCCATCTTGCTCCCCCTGGGATACCCCAGAATGTACACCTTAGAGCCCGCCTCCAGTGATTGCCTAGAGATCTTGGAGGCGTCGGACATGAGCGGCGACACGTCTGATGTCGTGATGGAGTCGCAAGCGACGAGTGTCAGGTCCAAGTCCCTGTTGGTCACGAAGAATCTGCACACAAAGATCATCATCTTCCCATTTATGAATTCGAACGGCATCGCACCTCTGAGGCCACAACTTGAGCTCGAGCGACGCGGCTGGAGTACGGACGTTGACGGTTGCACCTTCCGCAGCCGCTGGATCCGGAAACGTAGAACTGGTTGTCAAGATGACATCCTTGCTGATGATAATCCCAAACCCATCGCTGCTGTCGACGCTAACCACGGAACTCCCCCTAGCGATCAAGCTCTTCTTGACTTCGTCTTCGTTGATCGGTGAGGGTGCCACGATCTCTCCGGCGGAAGCCGGCGGAACCACACAGCACAGCTTGTTCAGAGTGTCCATCCGCAAGCACAACCGAATGGGAGGCACTCGGCTTCACGTGAACGCGAAGCCTAACCGTCACCGCTGCTGCGCTGGAGCCACCTGAATCGTCCCTCGGCGGCTGGCGGTTAGAGGTGGTGTGATATGGCACCTGATCCAAGAGTCGCACCATCATAGAAACAAAAAGAAAGACCAGACCAGGGACTCCAGCAAATGACACACCGATCACGATGCGCATGAAGCTGCTGCCCAAGGGGATCAAGATCTTCTCCAAGAAGCAAAGGCTAAAACTGCGTAACTTGTGTTGCTTCGCGCCATCCTCCTGCAAAAAGGACGAGGGCGGTCGAAACGAAGAGCAGAACCAAGGTGGAAAACAAGCTCCAGACAAATGCGACAAGCACGACAAGAAGCACACTAAGAAAGGCAAAGATGTTGTGCAGCTCGATACCTCTGTGAAGGGTGTGGTCGCAACAAAAAAGCCGTCCATTGTTCTGCTGAGCCACCTGAACAACGGGACCGAAGATGGCGAAGGAATTGGAATCATTATACGAAAGAATGTCATACTCACCAGCCATGGAACCATACCCAGCGTCAGCAGTGCCAAAGAAGGCGAGATGGCCCTCAGCTACCCCGCCATGGGTTGCTGTCCCACGCAAACCACCTTGAAACAAAAGCTCCTGCCAAGCAAGTAAGGAAGCAAAATCCAAAATCCAAAATCACTCACCTCTGTGCTTGCTTTGCAGATTTTTTATCACCAATCCTGCACTTGACATTACGGCTATTGCCTGTGACGACGTCTCTCCAGTAGTTCCACTCAACATAGAACTCAGCCAAGGTAGAGGCCCAATAGGAGTCGATGCCAAGGTGTACATCCTGGGTGCATCTCAAGGGAGCAAGCCGTCGACTTCGAGGAACTTGAAAGTTGGCGAGGGGCGGGTAACCATGGAAGGAGACTCGATCGTCAAGTTCTCCACGGAGGGAGAAGCCTGGCTTTCTGGATCGGCCGGTTTCACCAGGCAAGGCCAGTTTGCGTTCATGGTGTGCCAGCCAAGAAGATTCAGCCGAGCTGCTTCGATGGAGAGCTCCACTTCTGCCGCATCGTCATCGTCACAACGAAGGAGCTCTGTGAAGCAGTCGAGTGTTGCCCTTCGCGAGATACTCCGCTGGTTGGAAGACGGTATGCCTTCTTCTAAATCTCCTATGGAACACCACCAGCAACAGGCTCACCACGATCGAGATCGTCTGCACCAGCATCTCCAACACAATCCAAAGAGTCCGCCACCCCTAGAACACGACATCGAGGTGCGGCTCTCAACTTCCCCTTGTTACCACCACCTTGAAAGTCCTAGAAGCTGTGCAAGCGCCGGGCTCAACCCGCGTCAACCTGGTATATCATATCCTGCCACTCCCAGCACCAAGTCCAGCCCCCGATGCAGTCCTAGGCGGAGAAGTCCAAATCCCAGAAGGCCAGGAGTCTCGTATTCAATCTCGCCTTTAACATCTGCTCGAAGCCGGAGATCGAGCCAGACATCCAGTAGAAGAGGATCACCCTGCTATAGAATGTCACCTCCATGCTGCCTATCGTCAGGAAAGCGTTCTCCAATCCCACTTTCAAGCTGCTGCCTGGGTCGATCATACGAGGACAGTGACTGTGATCAGCAACGGGAGATTGACGACAAGTTCCAAGACTTTCTCGACAGCCCAGAGTTTGAGCCACCACCTTGTCCGTTATCTGGATCGTCTTCGGAAGAAGACGCATGTAGTGCTGTGGTTTACTCGTCACCAAGAGGAAGACCCATGGCGGCAACCAAAAAACAAATCTTTAAGGGACCAGTTCACAGGCCACTCAAAGTCAGAATGAGTACTGATGAATGCGGAGCCTCAGACGGTGAAGTGTACATGGGTGTAGGCTACATGAAACATACACACGTTTCCAGGTGCAAGGCAAATCAGAAAGTCGGCCTACCTGGTTACACCGTATGGCACCACTAGAAAAGCTCGAGGTAGAACAAGGAAGAGAGAAACATTAATCAACACAAAATAAGCATGTACAGAAATAAATCTATCGTCACTCGACCGATACGTACAAGCAAACTTAGCTTCTCAGAATCTGTAGACACTATGCCGGTTTGAGATACTTGTCCACATATCCCTGATCGAAAAACAAAAGAACACCAAATAAGCTTTAGACAGCAATGTAACATTGATTACCTGAACAAGTTTGGAGATTTTCGGACGAGAAAATTCGATGAAATGATCAACTTTCTTAGGAGTCTTTGGAATGTGATTGCCTTCCAAAGTACCCACCACCTTGTCCACAGCCTTCTTCGCAATGGTCTTGTATACATCTTTGCTCATTTTTCCTTCCTTCCACCTGGGTTGGAGACAGTCTTTGACACACTCAGTCACTGCTACCCTCACTAGCATTGCGGCTTTACTGTCTTTGGCCTTCTTCTTCTTAGTCTTCTTTTGGCCGCTCTTTTCATCTGCCTCAGCGTCCAGGTCTGCATCAGGCTCGTCAGCGCTTTCTGCAATCTGTGGGGAATCCTTGTCCATCTCAGGCTCAGGCATCTTTGCGCCACTCGCGTCTTGATGCCCCTCATCATGTTTTGCACCGGGCATATCGGGACTTATAGCCTCCATCAAGGGTTCCCCCAAGCGCATGGATGTAGTAATGTTGTCTTGCTGCCGCGGTGGTGGAATAAAAGCGCCAAATGGAGGAATAAATGGCGGCGGTGGCAGCGGGGCCGTTAGTTGATACTGGTACAGTGTGTTTTGTTCTGGAGGATGCACTGCTACTGCTGGTGGTGGTATCCAAACTTGCTGTTGGGAGCCATTTACGCCCATGTAGCTGGTGCCTCCTCCATAAGGTGGAGGCAAATGGTTAACTTGTCCGTTCTCTGGCATCATCGAGGTGTGTGTTTGTTCCTGCAGTCTAGGACCCTCGTCAAGCTTGCGAGCTCTATCTCTTCCATGGTAATCCGCGGCATTTCTCCTCCCTTCGCCATCGTCGTGGATATACTTGCATGAAGATCCTTTGGTGCAGCTTCCTCGGGAATAGTCGTAGCATATCTGTCGGTTCCTCTCTACATTAGCCCTTGGATCGCCACGCTTGTGCGGCATGGGGCTCCTACTCCGGCTGCGACTTCTACGACTGCAACAACATTGGAGCACTTGAGTTGAGAAGGACCAGTAGCCTACGAGTTAGATACCTGTTCCTTCGGGGAGACCTGCTTCGGCTCCGGTTGTTTCTTCTACGTGGATCGGAGGAGGGACTTTGCCGCTTGCTCCTTTTGTGCGGCCTCTCACCGGCATCAGAATCAGCGCCTTGTTTCAGGTCCGAAGTTCTAGCGGATTCCTCAGCTGGTTCCCGTCTTCTCCGGGGTCCTTCCCCGTTGCTGTTGTTTTGAGACGCTCCCATGTTTAGCTCGGCATCGGATCCATGGCTCGCTCTCGTGCGCTCCCGGTCGCTCTTGGGTCGCCTGCTATCTGGCAAACGCAAACACCAATGCCCGAGTTGCTGGCCGCGAAACCAAACAAGAAAAAAGAAAAGAAAACCTTTCCTTGGCGTGCTGCTGGCGGCACCTACATTCTCCGCTCCTAAAATCACCATTGATTCAGACAAAGCAGCGGCTGGTACGTGTGTTAGTACCTTCCATAGCGGCGGGGGCTTCAAGTCAGCCATGAGCCCATACGAGACAGCGTCGTCCCTCCCTTGGCACACCCGCCCTAACACCAATAAACTAGCAAAAGCCCTAAAACTCTTCTAGGGCTTATAGCAGTGTTGTTTTGTCCCATGGCGCCGCTGTCGGGACATGGCGCGCGCGTCCTCAGCATCCAATCCCACACCGTGCATGTAAGCGCTCAAAATCTCACTGGATTGCAAGTGATCCCGAGCTTTTACTCTACTCGAGACAGGGATACGTTGGAAATAAATCGGCGGTCTTTCCCTTGCAGCTCCTGGGATTCGATGTTGATCCGATCAACTCCGTACAGTTCTCCAATCACACAGGCAAGACCAATGCGCTCCTCGCTTTTCTCTTTTTCTTTTCCCAGTGCGTTTAGCGTGCGCTCTCTAGAGGTGCAGGATATCCAGTGTGGCGCGGCCAAGTTTTGGACGGGGACCAGCTCTGGGCTCTCATCGAAGGACTAGAAGCGAATAACTTGCTCTTTTACACGCATCTCTTGACCGGTTAGCAACTCATCTCCTTCATTCTCTTCCTCACTCGTACGTACTCTTCTCAAGGCTACATCGGATCGGCTTCGTTCCTGAGAACCGTTCACAGGGTCATCGAGAAGCTGAGGTCCGTGAATCCCAATCTCGTTTACGGTAGGTATGTTTCCCTCCATTTTCTTACTATCTTTCTCATCACGCAATGCATGCAGTTTGTGACCCTGTCATGGGTGATGAAGGGAGGCTGTACGTCGCTCCTGAGCTAGTCCCGCTGTTTAGAGATCTGGTAACTTGTTGGTCTATCGTGCCCGGCGGCATTCTCATGTTTGAGATACTTCAGATCGTTCCTGTAGCAACTATGCTGACACCGAACCAATTCGAAGCAGAGCGGCTGACTGGCCGCAGGTACATCGATGGTCCATTGTTCGTGTTGTAACCGCAACTGTTTTAACAGCATACGTACGACACATGATGCGAGGCAAGCTTGCAGAGATCTCCACGGCGCCGGGCCGTCAAAGGTATTTCTTTCCTGAACTTTTCTATCTTGCGGACCCGGTGATTGTGTACAGGTGGTGATCACCAGCATGGACGCGGACGAGAAGCTATTGCTTGTTGGAAGTCATAAGAAGGTTCGTGGTCTCTTCTCTTTGAGAGTGTTTTGAGATGCTGTGTTCACAGGGCGAGTCGTTCAGACAGTTTCAGATCTCCATACCGAAACTCCCCATGTACTTTACGGTAACCTTTTCTGGAGTGGCTTCTGCACGTTGGTTTTCATCACCCTACACTTTTGCAGGGGACCGGGGACCTGATGACCTCATTGCTTCTCGGCTGGAGCCATGTAAGTTTGAGACCGACGTTGTGCTTTCCTTGGCTGACTTTTTAAAGCAGAGATATCCGGATAGTCTTGAAACTGCAGCAGAGTTGGCTGTCTCGAGCCTCCAGGTGTGACTTGTGGTGTTATTTTTGTTCTTTCCTTGTGGGGAATGCTGCTTACTAATTAGCTTGTCCAACAGGCCGTTCTGCACAAAACTTTGTCTGTTTACAAGGAGGAAGGCGTGCAAGTGAAGGCAAAGCAGCCGGAGCTGCAGCTAGTCCAGAGCCAAGAGGAAATCAAGTCACCTACAACCAGATTTGTCGCGGAAATTCTATCATGACCGGAACACGCAACAGCAAGCGCATTTTAGCAAATAACAAGTTTACAAGCGAGCTTTGATCTTGGCAGCATCCGCTGAGGCACTACCACTAGTGACACTCTCGTAGGCCTTTGAGTGATGGGTTTCAGGGACACGGCCTTCGGTATTCTCCAAAACAGTATGGTCTACTTCCTCTGCCACCTGATGCAGGAGTTTGCAAATCGTCTTGTCAAAATCTTACGTACCTGGCTGGCGTCTTTTGCAGGATTTGGGGGCATGATCGATTCTGCAATGCGGTCCTTGGTCTTTTGAACGGCACCCTTGGCGTTGTCGTAAGTGTGAGACACCTCCTTGATCAGGTTCTCCATGGACTTCCTCCCCGCCTCCATAGCTTCCACAGGTAGAGGAAGCACAGCGAGCTTCTCCATCACCGTGTCCCTCATCAGCACGAGAGCGGCTCTCACATCCGACGCCACCTCCTTGGAGGCTTGAATTACAGCAGTCCCTGATGAGAAGCGCTGCTCAAAGCTGGCACAAGCGTCTCACGGAAACACACACATACCACGCTTTGGGGGCGCGTAGAGCGATCCTTGCCCCACCGATTCGTCCAATTCTTGGACACGAGCAACGTCCTTGAGCTGCTCTTGAGGTGCGTACAGCTTGCCCGTTCCCTCGAAATCCTTCTTCTTGGGCTCCATTCTTTGCCTGTGTGTGTGGTTTGAGCACTTTAAACACATTTAAACACCATGAGTAAACGGTTGCCATCTGGACGCTCGCATACATGCCAAGTGTCACTCCTTAGAATTATCATTTAGCTTCACTCAATTCAATCAACACAGTAGACTATCAACGCGATCCCGGCCCAGCGATTTGTCGGCTTGACACAAATCTATATAGTCCGCGTAACTGGATTGCCTGTACATGGCTGGATGGCTAGAGCTGAGCAGCTCTTGCGCGGGGCAAATGCTCACGCCGGGAAGAGGAGAATAATTGGCGACGATAGAGACGCGCTCCGAGTGCTCAAAGACGAGAGCCCTGTGCCCTTGGCTCTTGTATTTGCCATTGCTTATCACCTGGCCCATTCACAGTTACAAGGGCTAAGCTAAGATATGAATCTTTCGTGTACTAGCTTGCCTGTGTGACATCGCCAATGTTGACAATGAGACCGTCGCGTACGGGCTTGACGGGCAGCCACAAGCCATTCTTGAGCACCTCGAGGCCTTCCTTTTCGCTCTCCTCGATCAGGATGGTGAAGGTGTCCATGTCTGAGTGGGCACCCACGCCCAGAACTCGATCAGCAAAGGGGCACAAGGGATACAAGTTAAGGCGAAGGCTCGCAACACTGTCCGCCAAAACTTCCTTAAAGTGATCGCGGGGCAAGCCGAGTGATTCAGAGAGGTCGGCTGCTAGCTTCTGTGCGTACGCTCCGATCTGCTTTCCAGCTTCATCCACATAGACCCTGTGCACAAGTAAATCGTCAACCTTGAATACACCATGCATTTTGAAGGACCTGAGCAACTCGGGCTTGTCGGGCCACACCGTTTCCACATTGCGGGCCGATTCCGGGGACAGATACATGCACAGAGTGTCGACCCAGTCGCTTGTTCCATCGGATGACTTCCCGAAGGCACCATACCCGGCACTCTCTCCCGTCTTCCTCCTCCACTTCCGCTTCTCTTCAGACGGCATCACGTAGAACTCATACGCCAGCGTCCTCAAGTTTCGGACCACCTCCATGTCAACTCCGTGATTGACAACCTGCGTGCGCACAGCTTGGTCAACTATCACAGTTCACACCGACCACAATCTTTATAGCAGACCTGAAAGAAGCCCCAATCCTGGCATGCCTCTTTGAGCTCCCTCAGCATTGTGCTCCTGTCGTGCAACATATCAATGACTGGGATCTCGAGGCCCAAGGTGGTGCAACGCCCGTCTCTGGGACCATAGCCATCCGGCTGAACAAAGCGCCGCGGAACTGTTTTGGGACAGCTCTTCAGAAGCTCTTGGATCGCCTGCCCTTCCTCGCCTCCACTGCCTTCCTCCATCGCGTTGCGTGCTCCAGCGTTCTCGACCTGCAGGGGATTGTAAGGTGGCGCAATGCATATAGATGTCTGAGACTCGAGAAGGAAAATGAAGAGCTCAAGATATAACTCTCCAAGATGGCGGAGCAACTAACTGGTAGGTGGATGTTTGTTGAAATTGACATGGAGATTCGGAGAGCTGTGACCATGCTGTCACAAACACATATGAACCTCGCATTTGAAGTGATCTCACTCATCTCTATCCGATCCAATCCATTTTGACCAATCAAAGTCAAGCTGACCGTGTGCTGACCATGTTCCCAACGATTTCGCACCTTGTCTGGAATTGATGGATGCTACCACGGCGAGCGGTCGATGACCCACAGGTGACTGCGTTTGCGCGAGCTCTTGGCGCGTGTGCTACCTCCAGGAACCTCGCGCAGGGCAAGCGCGTCCATGCCAACATCCTGGGCAGCGAGCACCGGGAGGACAGGTTCCTCGGGAACCTCCTGGTTGACATGTATGCCAAGTGTGGCAGCGCCCAGGACGCGAGGCTGGCCTTCGACGGGATCGTCAGCAGAAACGTCTTCTCTTGGAACATCCTGGTCGCGGCCTACGAGCAGAATGGACGAGCCCACGACTCGGCAGCTGCCTTCTCGCGGATGCCGCAGCACAACGTCGTCTCCTCGAATGTCATGCTCAAGATCCTGGCCCGCGAGCGAGACCTCGAGGGAGCGGTACGCACGTTTCTGTGGATGCCGGTGCGTGATGTGCTCTCCTGGAACACCATGATCCTTGCACAGACCCAGGAGCTCCTAGAGCCCGCGACACAGATGTTTGAGCGGATGCCGGCATGGAGCCTGGTCACCTGGAACACAATGCTCGCAGCACATTCCATAAGCGGGGATCTGGAAAGTGCCTACACCATCTTTGATTCGATGCCGCGGAGAGATGCCGTGTCGTACAACGCAATGCTCATGGTGTACGCCCACCACGGCATGGTGGATGCAGCAAGGAGCATGTTTTTCAGGATGGAGCACAGGGACGTTATCTCGTGGACGTCTATGTTTCAGGCTTATGCCCAGAGCGGGCATCTTGTTGAGAGCCGCATTCTCTTTGAGAAATCTCCCCAGTGGGACGCTCCCTCTTGGAACTCGATTATCGTTGCTCATGCAAACAACGGGCATCTTCGTGAGGCGGTGGATCTGTTCGAGCGGATGCCGGAGCGGGATATCGTGGCTGCGACCATCATCGTCCAGGCATGCGTGCACAGCCGAGAACTTGACAAGGCCGTCCGGGTGTTTGTGACGATGTCGTATCGCAGCGTGACGACTTGGAACTCCATGATCCACGGCTACTTTCAGAATGGCCAGTACGAGGAGATGCTACAAACGCTGGACAGGATGCCATCCTGGAATGTTGGGTCCTGGAACCCCACAATTGCGGCCTTTTCGCAGAGCAACCAGCTCCAGAAGGCTCGGGACATGTTCGACTCGATGCTGGAGCGGGATGTGGTGACGTGGAACTCCATGCTCACGGGTTTGTCTCAGAATGGTCACGTCCGGGAGGCCGTGACCATGTTTCAAGCGATGCCGCAGCGTGATGTCGTGTCGTGGAACGCAATGGTGGCAGCTTACGGCAAGAACGAGCAGCTCAAGTACGCCGAGTCCATATTCAAGCGTATGCCGCAGTGGGACTTGGTGTCGTGGAACTCGCGAATGGCGGCCTGCCTCGACAACTTCGACATGGAAGCGGCCAAGGAATCCTTCGACGCAATGCCCCAGCACACCGTTGTCTCCTTCACAGCGATGGTTCACGCGTTTGGACAAGCTGGTCGAGTGGACGAAGCCTGGACTGGTTTCTCCAAAATGCCGCAGCACAATCTCGTGTCCTGGAATGCCATGGTCGCTGCATTCGGTCAGAACCGGTATACCGATGAAGCTGCCGCTCTCTTCAGTGAGATGCCCGAGTGGAACCTCCTGTCGTGGAACCTGATGATCACTGCTCTCGGGTCGACTGGATACCTCGTGGAAGCGAAGCGTTTACTGGATAGTATGCCCGAGGAGGATCTTCTAGCAAAGACTGCTTTGATTACAGCCTATGGGTCATACGGCCGGGTGGTGGAAGCAAAGGTGTTGTTTGATACCACCACGCAACGGGATCTAGTGGTCTGGACGGCTATGCTCGAAGTTTATGCTCACAATGGACACTGCTTCTCGGCTTTCGAGATCTTCCAGGACATGGATTGTGAGGGAGTGAAGCCCAATGAAGTGTCGGTGCTCTGCCTCCTCACTGGCTGCAGCCACAAAGGCATGGTGGACAGTGGCCGTTTTTATTTTGTGGCTGCATTGGAGAGCTATGGATTGAAACACACGATTCAGCATTTCCATTGCATGATAGACATGCTGGGGCGTGCCAAGCGGCTGAACGAAGCAGAAGAGCTAGTTGAAACGATGCCATTTGTGGCTGATGACTGGGCTTGGGCCATTCTCCTGTCAGCTTGCAAAGTTCACGGAGATGTAGAGCGTGGAAAGCGAGCTGCGAAGCGCGTAATGCAGCTAGAGTCCGGCAATGGAGCTTCCTACGTGCTTTTATCCAGCATGTTTGCCGTCGAGGATGATTCTAAGACGGACGCAGCTACCGTTAAGCTGGATGCTTATGCTTAACTTTGGAGCCATTGACTTACACCACTGGAAAGCGATAAGGCAAGCGAGCAAGGAAGCAATAGAAGAGAATCCATGGTTGCATTCGCGTCTATTTCCTGGACACGCTTAAAAGCTGGTCATATCCTTCCGGTGAGCTCCAGATTGAGGCAGAATTTGCTATCGCCGGTGAAAGTAGCAGTACCAACAGTATGTATGGAGAAAGGCAACAAATCTATTTCCTTTGGAGACAAATTGCTCGACTACATCGAAGGTAAGCCTCTCTTACGTCCCGCGCTAACGTTGTTCAACTCATTGTTCTAGGAGGCCCGAAAATGAGGAAGTGGTATGGAGCACCAGATGTGCAATCTACCGAGTTTGCAGGTACGTGTGTGTTTTGGTTGAGAAATGGATTATCTGACTTATATCGACAAGCAGAGGAGAAAAAAGAAGACGATAACCAAGAAGAAGAAGAAGAAGAAGAAGAGGAAGGAGTTAGAGATGCTGTTCTTGTTACTGATGCAGACAGCGAGACTGGTCAGGTTGAGCAACTTCTTTTTTTCCTCGTGTTTCCTCTCTTTTTGATACCAAGAATTCTGGTTGCAGTTAGTGGTGCTGTCTCTCATTGTCCAACGCTGTCGAGTTCGGGTTCTAGTTCGCGACGTGAAACTTGCCACCAATGCTTTTGGTTCCTATGTGGAGGTAAGAGATTTCTTTGGCAGTCTGATGCAAAAAGCCTATTTTGTAAAGCCCATCGTTGGCACTGTGAACGACAGGGGGAGTCTGATCAAAGCATGCAAGGAAGTGCGAGCCATTATATGCCCAAAGAAGGTAGTGTTTTTCTTTGCTCCTGTTACAATTTCTCCTTTTTCTTCTTTTATAGCTGGGAGCTCTGGCTGAGAATGACAAGAAGATGTTGAAAGGAGTGGAACACATTGTTTACGTCTCAGAGGTAACAGACACTTCTATGCATGTTCATCTGTGATGATCGCCGTGCAGCTCGCAAGCTCCCGCGCAGCAAGAGGCCTCCAGTCACTGCTCCGGTCAGGATCAGCACAAGACGCTCTCCGAGACGAAGCTGCTCTCGCAAAACTCGGTGTCCCATACACCATACTCCGGCCAGCGATGCTGAGAGACGAACCAGGCGGTGTCAGGGGTTTCAGGGTCAGGAGAGTTGATCAATTGGAAGACAGCTCCGGGGTAAGCAGAAGCCATGTTTCCATCTCACGCGAAACTCTTCTTCTCCCTCTGTAGATCGAAGGGATGATGAGCAGAGAAGACGCGGCACTCTTGTGTGTCAAAGCACTGGACGCAAGGCCCCAGCAAGCACTTGTTCTAGAGGTAAATCGCAACGTTTCCGGCATTTGTTCCAACGTCGCTCTCACAGATCGCCAACGTTGATGCGCAAGCGAGAGATGTAGAGGCGGTATTCGGAGGTTGAGAACATCTTGTAAATGTCTACAGTGTATCCAATTCTAGGGTTCTTGGGAGGATGAAGGCGTCGGCCAAGCTGCGCGATGGGCAGGAGCCGCTGCTCCGAGCCAAGATCCCGCTCAACATCCTGGGGCTGCCAATCTGCTCGGGCGTGAGCATGGGCAGCAGCCAGGAGCTGGGGCTCCACGTCTCGACGCTGGTGGCGGCGGGGCCTTCATGCCGGGTAACATTTCTCCCCAACGATTCCCACGCGCCCGTGTGTGTGATGCTCAAGGCAGGGTTTGGGCCTTGGGGATCTCCCGTGGGCTCCTGCCTCGCCATCTCCGCGCAGCTCAAGCTTCCAACTTGGAGCCAGCAGCGACCCTCCTTTTCCATTTCACTCAAGCCGCGCAATGGTGATTTCATGCTGCTCAAGAATGTGAGGGGAATCGAGCTCAAGGGCCGCAAACCAAGCAAGGAAGAATCGCCGGACGAGGCGACTGCCACGAATGGCGTGAGTGTTGCGGAGCTGGCCAAAGCATTTGACAAGGAGAAAACAAGCAGCACCAAGAATGTGAATGGCTGCTTGGAAGACGATGGCTGGGTGATCCCCGACGCTGGAACGATGACAAGAACACGAACAAGAGGTTTCAGCTCCACCCCGGCTGCCTTCAAGGGGTGGAGTGTAGCAGCGCACAGCAGCCTTCCCCTGGGGCAACGGGTGTACGCTGGAATAAGATGGCGAGTGGGAGTCCCTGGAGATTTGGTTGAGACTCTGGCCTCTAATCCTCACAAGCTCTGGTCACGATTGAGCTCCCCGGTTCTCAAGCTCGACAAGATCACCCTCTACAGCATCGAGCCCAAGGACGATCAAGCGAAGCCCGACAGCATGAGTGATTCCATGGCAGCAGCTCACCAAGCTTGGATGGAGGAGAACCAAGAGCTTAACAAGGTCGCGGCCATGTGTTCTTCCATACGGAGGCAACTCCATCTGGTGTACAGCGAGAACCGGGTTCTGAGGAACACACTGGAGGAGATGCGAAGGAACTTTAACAGCAGGGGAAGCACCCCCACGGAGATGCCATCTTCCATAGTCATGGACAAGGCTCTGCTACCATTGGCCGACTACGAGAACGTCCACAGGAGTCAGCAATCGCCAATCCCGGGGAAGAAGGAATTTGATGCCGATGCTACTGCTCCGGCCGCTGACAAGAATAGGGAGCAACGGAATCAATACCAGAGCAAACAACACAAGCCACGGCCGCCGGATACTGCTGCGGTAGCTCCCGAGAAATCTGTCCCTCCGCCACCTCCCGCTCCTTCGGCGTCTGCAGTTGCCAAGGAGCTCAAAAAGGCAATCAATGCAAGCAAATCGACGTGATTGCTTGTGTCATGATGTATATAGGAAAATGTAAAGTAAGTTTTCTCAAATCAAGATGAACAGTCTATTTACAAGATTCAATCAAAGGAACTTCTCCAAACCAAAACTCTATAGGCCATTGCAAGCGTGCCACCTTTCAGTTATACGTGCCAAACTGAGCTTGGTCCTACTGATCAGCGTGAGGCCTCCGTGAAAGAATGAGTTTAGTAAAAGTCCACCACCGTGATTGTGATGGAAGAAAAACGGGCTCTACTGCTTGGTGTCCTTAAACCACCAGTTTGCTTGAACTCCAAGCTCTGCCTTGAGAAAGTCCGATCTCTTGTTCACCAGTGCGATATCCCGGGTGCCCGAGACACTGAAGGGCTTGCTTGGCCCTTGGTAGCCATCAACCAGGTGAAGCAAGGCCTCCAAGTTGTGCAGATCGGTCAAGCCACCATCTTCCCTCAGAAACGGAGAGATGTCGCTGCTGAGCTCAAACTCGGTGCCAACATGGGTGTAGGCCCATGGGAACCTGTGGAAGATGAGCGAGACGATATCGCTGCTGTCCTCGTTCACAATCACCCCTGGAACTTTGGGCACCAGGTCTGCGGCATTGCGTGTCTGGAGGACTTTGAGCCCGAGCTCGAGGCACCTGTTCTTGAAACCCCGGTTCCCAACTCGGGGTGCCGAGAATGTGAAAACGGACACCGGGGTATTGCTCCCGGGCAGCCCAAGCTCTGTCACGTCGTAGGCGCTGAGGAGTGCAAGCGCGCCACCCAGGCTGTGGCCCGTGAACGTGATACTCAGCTGCTCACCCTGGTAGAGCCCGACCAATCGCTTGATCTCCGAGTGGAGATGCTGCCTCGCGCTCATCCCGTCGTGATCGCCGGGGACTGGAGACGTGTAGATGCTGAGAAATCCGGTCTCCACTTTCACGCCTTTGGTGTTGTGATCCGTGGGGTCGAGCCCGGTGGGGCGGAGGAGATCCTTGAGGTTCTCGATCCACTCGAGCTGCGTCACCGTCCCGCGCCAGGCCACCACAATGTCGCGGCGTCCCAACCGTCGGATGGCCTCGTCCGACGTGGCAACCGCCACGAAGCCCATCCAGTTGGTGTCCGACGTCCACGAGTCGTCGCCGGGTTGGGCGTTGGAATTGGAGCGCTTGAAGAAGCTGGGCAAACCCAGCTGCGATGTTGCGTAGAGATAGGCCGTGATTTCGTATCCCGTGCTTGGGAGTCCCACGGATTGGAGGAGCTCCTCCTTGGAGAACTTCGTGTCTCCACAGAATTCCGAGCCCTCGCTGTATTCGAAGCCGTCGTAGCAAACCTGCGCAAATTCGCCGTATCGGATGATCTCCCGCCGGAGCCGCTCGTCGATGGAGGCGTTGGCGGGCGGGAGGAGCGGACTCCAGTGGCATGCATCCCGCCAGCCTGACAGCTGCGTCTCCTCCAGCTCCACAACCCGCGCGCCATGACCATCTCCATCAGATCTCTCCAACGTTTTTCTCTTGAAAGAGAATGACAATAAATCTCCTTCTCTCTCCAACGTCCTTCTCTTGAATGACAGTGACAATGGAACTCGTGCCATGATCTCGATGCTTGCTCCCGAGGCTTTGATGGGCTTGGAAATTGTTGATACGCCTATCGATCGATCAGCTCCTCCTTGGCGAGTATGGTTGCAATGAATCAGATGATCGCTTCATAAAGAACTTCTCCCCTTCTTGTTTCTCCCTTCGTGTAAATTGCTGGTGGAATGCTGAGATTGTGGCAGAGGATTTATAGCAGTATAACAGTCAAAATTCAAACCACACCACCCCACAGGGTCAATCATATGCAAGGAGGCATTGCGTATTTGATTAGAAGACTTTCACTGAACTTTCACTCTTCATTCTCATCTAGAGGGAATTATAAATTCAAGTGACATAATGAATTTTCAGTACAAAGTTGAACATCAATGCTGATTAACACATTGCATATGACACGGCAATAGTGTGGTGGCACCACTCTATGGAGCCTTTTTTCAATCAAGACTCTAAGTGGTTCATCAAGGAGATGATTAAGTACCTGGGGTTGGAATTTCCAATTGATGCATATGACTAGCAGCTTTGAATTTTGGAGAAGCTTTACAAAGCTCATGAAGATTGGCATCAATTTAAGTATCTTCAAATAGGTGAATAAATTGAGTGAATCAACCAAGTGGTTGAGGACATGCTAAGATGCACTATTCATAAGTAGAATAACTTTTTATTTTTTGTAAAGTTTTTCTATAACAACAACTAGCATAGTGGCACTAAGATATAAGACATTCGCTGTATTCGAAGCTGTCGTAGCAAGCCTGCGCGAATTCGCCGTATCGGATGATCTCCCGCCGGAGCCGCTCGTCGATGGAGGCGTTGGCGGGCGGGAGGAGCGGACTCCAGTGGATCGCGCCAGCCTGAGCTCAGCGCCAGCTGCGTCTCCTCCAGCTCCAGCGCGCCATGACCATCTCCTTCAGATCTCTCCAACTTTCTTCTCTTGAATGAGAATGACAATGAATCTCCTTCTCTCTCCAACGTCCTTCTCTTGAATGACAGTGACAATGAAACTCGTGCCATGATCTCGATGCTCGCTCCCGAGGCTTTGATGGGCTTGGACAATTGTTGATACGCCTATCGATCAATCAGCTTCTCCTTGGCGAGTATGGTTGCAATGAATCAGATGATCGCTTCCTAAAGAACTCTTGTTTCTCCCATCGTGTAGATTGCTGCTGAAATAGAGGATTTATAGAAGTATCGCTTTCGGAGTTTGCCACCGGGTCAAAAGAAGCATATACGAAATTCTCGCGTTGATCTCTTCTCTTCATGGAAACATAACAGTCAAAATTCAACCAGGGTATCGAGTAACGCAAGGAGGTATCGAGTCTTTGACCAGAAGACTTTCACTCAACTTTCACTCTTCATTCTCATCCGTCCAGTAAAGCAAACTAGTTGCGAGGTCGGGATCACTGTTCTCCTCCACCATCATCGCATCCTTTTCGTTTCCCTGGAGCTGGCGATCATAGGCGTCGATTGGAAGTCCCGTCGCCAGGTACTTGATCATCTCCTTGACGAACCGCCCGGAGTCTCGATCGAGGAAAGGCTCCAAGAGTGGTGCTACCACTCTCTCGCAATCCATGGCTGCCGCTGGGGATCGCGCCATGTCGCTCAGGTTCTTTCTCCCACTTGTCCTCAGCAGTCTCTCCAATGCCCCCTTGACGAGATGTGCCACCAGCGTCACATCTCTGTCTAGCATCAGCGCTTGGACCTCCCTCACGATCCAATCCCACAGGTACTTGGTGCAATCCCTCCCCGTCCCAGCCGCCCTGACGACATCCCCCTCGAATTCCTGGCTGTAGCGCTTGCGCCGCCACATCTGTGCCGGCGTGAGCGCGAGCTTGTGCGTGCTCCGATGGGGATGCACAAGACAGTGCCTGGAGAAGACACTCACCCCGTCCTCCATGGCCACGCCGTGGACGAGCGAATCATAGCCCCCCTTGCAGATTGGGCATCGCAGGAATTCGCCGGTGGAAGAGTAGGCCAGCATCGCCTCCGACCACGTGAGAATGCAGGGGTAGCAGAAGCCATGGAAGCAGCCATCCACGAACGCGGGATCGCTGCGCTCGTCCGCCAAGCAAATCGCACAACCCACCATGTGCCCTAAAACTCAAAACCCTAAACGAAGCATATCCATTTTCAAAAAGCAAGGCGTCAATGGTTTCGCAAGCACGGCTTCTCGAAGACAAGCCAGGCCTTTTGCCTGGAAATTCTCGCCCGGAAAGTCATTGTTGTTCATCAGTCTACATAGTCCCATCTAAAAGGCGTAGAGAGTCCACTTCTAAGTAAGTGATCCTGAGCAAATTCCAATCTCATTTCGATCGCTATGGCTGGCGGCGTGGAGATGTTCGAACTGGAGCTGGCAGCGGGGTTGGAGTCCCTGGCCACGGGCAACGGCAGCTACCTGAGCTTGGCATGGATCCAACAAGCGCTGGATCTGGTGAGCCACACACAGGGCGAGATGATGGCGCTGGTGCCCGATCACCTCCAGCAAGCCTTGCAGGATCGGGACGCCAATTGGCTGCGCGCGTGCGTGTGCGACACGGACAAACTCCTGGGCGTGTGTGACGTTCTGGTCAGGAGTATCGCCGACGTCCGCTACTACCAGATGTTTGTGCAGCTGGCCTTGCAATCGGTACAAAGCAGGAAGGCGATGCGCGCTCGGCAGCTCCTCGACAGCTGCATTCGCACGATGCCCCTCTTGTCCACCAGCAGCATCGTCGACAGCAACGAGACGAGCCGCCTCAGCTTGCAGAGGGCCAACCTCGAAAGGGGCATTCAAACTCTCCTGGCTATCTGGGAATTCGAAGCTGATGGTGGAAGAACAACACTACAGCTAGACCAGGAGGTCGAGGAGCTTGATGATGGTAGCCGGGTTTTCCTCTCCACTCTCCACGGCACCAGAAGCACATCCATCTTCGTGCTCCTGGTTCTCGCGGTCGGGCTCACCGTCCGGCCCAGGCTGCCAAGCAAGGAGCGGAGATCCCAGCCCCTCGGCATCCGCGCTAGCAAAGAACCCCTCTGGCTCGATCCGCTCGTGCGCCTGCTCAAGAGCGTCAAAGAGGAGATCAGCAGCCGGAACGAGCAGGCGCCATTCTCTTTCCTGTGCGAGCTCCAGAGTGTGGATCAATGGGTCCGACAGCTGCGCGCCCTCATTATCCACGGGGATCCGCAGGACGACCGCGCACTGGCGGACTGCGTCAAGGCGCTCAAGAACAGCGTGGATCAAGTGGAGTTGGCGTTGCCGCTCATCGAGGCGCAGGTGATCCAGATCCGCAACATTATCACCTCCATCCGCACCATCGTGCTGCATCTCCTCCACAAGAGCAAGAAAAAGATGGTTTAAAAGAGTTCTACAGAAAATGTGGTAGTTTCTTTGGGAAATCTCCTAGGAATATCCGTCCTGTTTCAAATTCTAGCAGTCGTATGATCCCGGTCCCGGATTTCCGTCGTCCTTGCGGTAACTGAATCGCTTCTCCGTGCCGAACTTAAAAGATGCCGCGGATGCCCTCCTGGAATTCGATTGGTGCCCCTGTGTTTGCATCGCGAGAAATCCCAGTTGAAAGAGGGAAGGGAATAAAAACACACACACACAAGCGGCAGAGATCATCAGAGTCGTGGAAAACTTTTTTCTCATGTTGTGTGCCGCTGGAAGTACCATGGATGATTCAGTCGAGCATGGGTCATCGCCCTTGGTGGTGCATTGCTGCTGCGGCGGCTGCTGCTGCTGCTGCTGCTTCTCCGCTGGTTTCTTGGGCGAGGACGGATTGTTCTTGGCGGCATTGCTCTTGGCGCCAGCTTTGCCCGTGGGAGACGGCGGCGATTTCTCGCTCATTGCGCTGTTGTGGGCGTTGTTTTCCCGCGCTTTGGCAATAAGGTCGGACGCACCCCTTCGCTATAGCTAAAACATTTCTCACAAAAGGGTGTAGGGTTTAAAGAAGATGCTTAATATTTTAGGTTCCAGCAGTTATGGCCGCTGCCTCTTGTCTGTGCAATCCGCCGGGGCTCGAGATCGCGCGGCGGCGGCGCCAGCGGCGGCCAAGCTCTTGCTTGTGACCGGCGCCGCGGCGGCATTCTGCTTGCTGGGCAATCCCCGCCCGGGCATTTGCGAGCTGCGATCGTCAATGCAAGCCTATTTTTAAGCGTGGACTATTTCAAGTAATCGATCGATCTATCTTGCTTTGCAGCTGCTCGGTGGTAGGCCGAGGTTACGAGTATCTGTATCCATCTTCTTGGAAGCGTGACAAGGTCAGAGGAATTGAGGTCGTGTTCTTTCTTTGCTTTTTCTCGTTTGTTTTGTCTTTTATTCTGTGTGGCCGCTGGCCGCTGGCCGCTGGCAGCTTCTAGCGCATGATCCAGAGGCCAAGGAATTCAACTTGACAATTACGAGCGGACCAGCTCAGTTTGTAGTGCTGGGGTCACCAGAGGAGGTCTGAATAGTCCCACTAAATGGCGTCGCGTATAAGCTAATCTTCTGAGATCATTCATTCATGCCATTCCATCCCTCCAGGTTGGACGAGCACTACTCGCTCGCTACCAGACCGTGCCCGACGTGGAAAAGGTGCTCCGTTTTCTATCACGAGATAAGTTTTTCTTTTTCTAAACGCGTGTTTTACAGGCGGAGCTCTTGAAGGTGGACTCTTTCCCAGATCGTGACAATAGCAGGAGGTAATCTTAAATCCGGACACGGCATCCGAATCCTCTTTTGACTAAATCAGAAGCTATACGTTGGAGCTAAGGATTCTAGCGAACGATGAGCTGCGACATTTCCTGTTTAGAATCCTCAAGACAGAGAGCAAGGTTGGTGTATGTATAGTATCTAGAGTTCTTTTTCTTTTCTGCTTTTTCTTTCCTTTCTTGATACTGAAGCGTTTCTATCTAGGTGTATACACTCGTTCTTCAAGTACCAGAAGGACAGTGGCCGGGCAGCGCGGACTGCGCACGGACGCTTTTAGACGGGCTGAGGGCTACCACAAATTGACACCTAGTCTAATCATACCCAGTCAAGTCGGTGGACTGCTACAATTGGACCGAACAATACAATGGTGCTCGTGCATAAAGGTAAAGATAAAAGGATGCATGTCCTAATGGTGATTTGATTTAGTGCTGATCCGTTGTTGCCTTAAAAAGGTCTGGGAGACCTGAGATACTCTTTCGAGTCCCGAAACATGAAGTTCGAGCTCAGCTACCATAGCTTCCTGCTGGTTCTGCTCGTTGTGGTAGGGGTTTACACGGTTCTCACAATGAATGGATCCACATCTTTCCAGCTGTATCGTCCCACTCCAGCTCCAGATTGCACAGGTGAAATCTCCAGAAGAGGGGGAATCAAGACAGAAACACCAACAGGAGGATCGCTGTCAGCGGCAGAGAATCTGGAAGCAGCACCGGCAGCAGCAGGAGCGCTCCCCTTGAAGGCAAGAGCAACAGACAGTCCAAGTCCAAGAACAACGCTCGCAAACATAGTTTTCGGCCTTGCGGCAGGCTTCGAGGTTTGGGACAAGAGGAAAGGCTACATCCAGGCATGGTGGAGGCCGGAGATGCGAGGGGCGGTGTGGCTGGACAAGATGGTAGCCAGATCCAGCGAGGACAATTTGCCTCCGCTCATGGTGTCCGAGGACACCTCCCGGTTCAACTACACTTATTCGGGACCTCCGAACAAGCGTCAGAAGCAGCAGCTTCGGATGTGCCGGACTGCCGTGGAGATGTTCCGGTTGAGGCTTCCGGATGTGCACTGGTTTGTCGTCGGGGACGATGACACAGTGTTTCTCGCCGACAACGTGGCAAGAGTTCTGTCCAAGTATGATCACACCAAGTTTTACTACATTGGTGGCATCTCCGAGACGCACCGGCAGAACACCGTGGATGGCTGCTGCACGGGCAACATGGCCTACGGTGGTGCCGGCTACGCCATCAGCTATCCCCTGGTCGAGGAGCTGAGCGAGATTCTGGACGAGTGCATGGAAAGGTACGCTGATCTCTACGGAGGGAGCTCCAGAATTCATGCGTGCTTGTTGGAGCTGGGAGTTCCACTGATCAAAGAGCCTGGCTTCCATCAGGTACGACTTTTTCTTGTGATTTCTGGATCGGAAAAAGTGTTTCTTCTTTCGTGTTTTCGCAGCTGGATATCAACGGAGACGCATCCGGCATCCTGGGTGCTCATCCCATTGCTCCGTTGCTCTCGCTGCACCACCTGGACCGGATCGACCCACTGTTTCCAGGGATGTCACGGCAGAAATCGGTGGAGCATCTGCTCCAGGCAGCAGGCGTCGATCCAGGCGGGGTGCTGCAGCAGGCGGTGTGCTACAGCAAGCAGCAGAGTTGGTCGATCCAAGTCTCATGGGGATGGGCTGTGCAAGTCACGCGACTTTTGCTTGCTCCACGAGTGCTCGAGAATCCACTAAGGACGTTCGCTGGCTGGGGAGTCCCGAGCCTGGACGAATCATTCGGCTTCAGGACAAGAGCGGTGCCAAGGGACTCGTGCGAGCGGCCAACCATGTTCTTCATGCACACCGTCGTGCCTCAGCGCAATGGACAGTCTTTCAGTAACTACTCGAGGGGCGGTGCCAGCCAATGCAGGAGAAAGGACGCACTGTCCAAGATCAATTTGATCAGTGTCGAGAAACAAGCCGTGCACGACTCCTGGTACCAGGTTATGACGACTACTTTTCTTCTTCGATTGGATTTCAATCTGGATGGTTCTTTTTCTTTTGTCTCAGGCACCTCGGAGACAGTGCTGCAAGATCATCAAGTCGAGCAAGCACACACTAGAGCTGTCCATCAGGACGTGCCAGAAAGGCGAGTTATCAGCCATCTTATAACTAACTTGGAGAACGATTATATTAGCCTCCAAGCACAGACGCTACAGCCGGTAAGTTGGAACCTTTGAAGCTCACGAAAGAAAAGCTCTCACTTTTTTGCGTTCCATGTTCATAACCAGTGATACTTCTACACTGGTAAGAAAAAAGTTTTACATACACTTTTTTCTTTCCGGCTCTCTTAGGCAGCTAGATTCTCGCCGTGGAAAGAGGAAGCCTGACGAAACGGCTCACAAAGAAATGCTTGAGTAACTTACTTGTCTGCACACTCAACTTGCGTTGTAAAAACTGCGCTCACTGGCCGATGATCCGAGATTCTGTACTCGGAGCGCAAGTAGGCGATCTGGTCGAGCCCCTTTCCCAGCCACAGAATGCGGTCACACCTGTACGAGAGAGAATCAATAGAAGTTTTTTTTAAAGTTCTCTCCACTTAAACAATTGACATACCATGCAGGAACGCGTGTTCTTCCATTCGCAGACGCGCCGTTCATCGTATAGGCATCGGAATCGGGGATGTACTTGTATGTTGGCGCGAATTTGATGTGTCCCTCTTTCCAGCCTTCGAAAACGCGACCTTTTCCTTGCTGTGCTTTGAGCTGAAGAGGCAAACAGTCGTATAGGCTTAGCTATCAAAGTCTAAAGGTTTTTGGAGACTACCTGATCCTTCGCTAGAAGAGAAGAATAGTCCTGGTTTTCAATAAGTCGCATTGTCTCGTCGCTGGAGAGAGCAACCCGATAGTTGAGATCTCCAAGCCAGATTATCCTTCTGTGAATTGAAAACAGAGAAATAAGATTCAAGTCACGTCGACGTGAATGAGATTTGCTCTAAAATACTTACTCGTGCTCTAAAATAGTCTGGGGTAGAGTTTGCGAGACTCTGAGAGAACGTGGAAAGCTAGTCCTGCGCAAGATCTCCCTCACGTCCGTGTTTCTGCGCTTGTCATCTTCTTCTCTGTCTCCCGAAGTCAAATGTGAACAGATGAAGCAGAAGCTTGTTCGGTGGATGGACAAGCTCACCGAAATGGATCCCTGAGAGAAGGTACAACCAGCAAAGGTTGGCCACAGTTAAAAACGAGAAAGTCTTACCTTGTTTCCAAGGTAGCCAAAAATTCCACAACCAACGGAGGAAACCTTGACGTTGTTGACAACGTGACGAATCTCACGTCGGATCCAAACGCTGATAAAAAGTCCGACCATCTGTTTGCTCGCAATCCGGACATACTGTCCGGGAAACTTGCTGTCCTCGGAGAAATCTGGAGACATGAGCGGTGCGATGAGAGGCTGTTTCTCCCCAACGTAACCAAGTGTTGATGCTGTCTCGTCCTCTTGTGTCCATGATGCTCTCCTAGAGCCATGATTCAGAGTGTGCCGTATCAAAGTTTCCCATACTACAGCTGGAGTGTCATCCTCAACTCCAAACACATTTGCAACATTTAGAGGCACAATCTCTTGGAAGCTGTGGGAATAACAAGCGTCAGGAGAAGGACAAACGAACGAGCTGGAAATACCCGAAGACGTAGATATCAGCCGGTGTCTGGGAGCAGACCCAGCTACTTAAATCCAGAGACGATGGAGGAATCCGTCCGCCGACGTTCCAGGTTCCGGCGTGTATCCTAGCACAAGATTTTCGAGAACTTTCAGGCAAAGACAAGAGAGAGTCCTCAAGGCGACTGGGTGATCAGTACCGGAAGTTTTGGAACGCGGTTGAAAGAGCTACCGGCGTTTGATAACTCCTGGAATATAATCCAGCCCCAGATTCATCTATAACAAGAACAAAAAAACATAACAAAGTCGTTTAGCAACGAGAGAAACAAACAAACAAGCAAATGGATTGATTATACCTTCACTCTCGCAGTCAGAGCATCGCCATTCATCCGCATTGAACTCATAGTCACAAGATCTCCATGGCAGAAGCTTCCTCAAGAAGTGGCAGCAGCCGAGGCAGTCGCAATTCCACAACCCAGCTGCCTGCAAGCAAGAAAAAGAGAGAACAAAATGCTCAGTTTAGGATCCAAAACTCTCCCAATAGCAAGCTTACCTCGCTGCTCTTCATCTCACCGTTCTTGACCTAGTCTTACCATGGAAAGATCACAAAATCTTAGCACAAATCGACCCAAACCATCAAGCCTCTCGAAGAAAACTGAAGCAATCAAAGAATGGGGGCAAAGGGAAAAACAAACCCGAGCTTATATACAACCTCCACGTGTACCATTTGAATAGCCATGGCGGGTATTCCGTGCCAAAAAGGCCGCGGAAATATCACAAAAAGTATCACGAAACTCACCACTAAGAAATTCAAGCTTAGAGTCGCGGCCGGCCACGTAAAGCTCACAAATCTGCCTCCAAATCTCTTGTTGCGATCCAAATCGACTAATAAATCCTTACTTTTGCTGTTGCTGTTACTGTTGTTGTCGCCCAGCGAGCTTCGGGAAGGGGTCCTGCTTGCTCAGCACCACCACTCGGCTCTTGTGCGAAAAGTAGCCTTTCATCAGTGCCTTGTGGATCAGAATTGCCATGGAGCATTCCACCTGGAGAGACTCAAGACCTTAGATTCAAGCACTGTCAATCAGTGGAGCTCACCTCGTCCATGTCCATGTCCACCTCGAGCCACTTCATAGCTTTTAGGATCACCTCCATCCTAACCTGGTGGGCGCGGCCAGGATCACGCTGCTTTTGGATATTGTATCTGTAACAGTAGCACCAAGATGCGTGAGACACGAGAGCTGTGGCTGCCGTGGCTGCGGTGGCGGCTTACACACATTTTTCTTAAAAGTCGTCTGTAGACATGGGATTCGAGCTTCTCCAGGACGAGATAGACGCCCGATCTGAAAAAACTGAGAGGGGAAAGCGTAAGTTTTGTGTCGAAGCAGTACAGTGCCGTCTTACTTGTTCTCGTTAGCTTTCAAGGCACGTCGAAGTAATCTGACGTCTCCTCGCTTCAGAGCTCGGACAACGTCAATATACTGCAAAAAGGAAGAGTCAGGAAGAACAGTCGTTGCTACCTCCTTGCTACCTCGGACAGGTTGTATTTTGTAAGTAAGCTCTCTTTTGGTAGCACCCCGAGTGCTAATCTCACCGGTACCAGGTACTTCAAAATCATCCTGCAAGCAAGGTTACTACAACGCCAAGTACGTTAACAGCAGCACATACCTTATGTTCGCCTTCTTGAAAGGATCGCAGCGTTCCAAGGCATATGTGAGCTTTCGGTCGGCCTGAAATATCATAACAAAGTAAGCGCGAGAAGAAAAGCTTTTCTGCACGATCACTTACTGCCGAGACGTTGTCGTTGAAAACCTCTAGACGGCCTGTATAATACATATAAGTCACCTTCATGGGAATAGAGTTAAGCACTTCTCATGGCTGTAAACAGGCATTACGAGCATACCCGATCCTTGGCAGGAAAGTCTTCGAAGTCGAAAAACCGAGATGTGTCAATACTCCTGATCACACTTCGGCACATATGGACTGTTCCCAGCTGAACAACGAAAAGGCTAGAATCGATCTGTACCAGCAACAAGATCTTCCAAACCTTGAAGTAGATTTTGAATAGTTGGCACGTAACGTAGAGAGCACCGACGCGCTTGGGACCTTTTCCTTGAATGGCACCGAAAACCTTCATAAGAAACGAGCCAGCACCCTTGAGCTTATCCGGTGCCTTCCCATTCATCGCCATTTCCCTGTCAGCCTGTGAAGAAAGAAACTCGAGTTTTCAGAGGAGCGTGAAAGAACAAAAAAACAGTGAGAAAGATACCATCTCCCCGACAGTGCGAAGAGCGTAGACGATGACATGAAGCGCTTCCATCGCCCACGTTGATTCCCAGTTGCGATATTCTTGTAAGAAAGCACTATGGAGCAGTTGGTATCCAACAATCCATCAAAGATCAACATACTTTGCCGATTTCTCGAGGGAATTGTAGGCGTCCACATAGCGATTCTGATGGTAGCACTGCATTGCCCGCGTGTGATGGAGTAGCATTTCTCCCAGCGGTGCGTGCTTGTCTACCTGTTTCAAAATCCTCGCAGGATCCTGGCGGAAAAACCAGCTGAGAGAGATGCTCCTCGACTCAATGGCGACGCACCTTTGTGTGATCCAGGCAGGAAGACACCGTCTCCGCGTAGGAATTCGTGGCATTGATCGCCAGCGCCGCAGCAAATGCCGATCCATCCTGGCTAGCTAAAGAATCCGTGATGAGGCTCACATAATCCGCGAGCCTGCGATCGACGAAGCCGCCGCTTCCCTCCATCGCCCCGCCCCGCCACTCCATAGCTAGGGCTCTCACTAAATGAAATAAATATTTACAAAAGAGGAGGCAAGGGTTCGATTCCTCATAGACGATAGCAAAACAAGTTAGCCAATCTATCTTAATAGAATTCCTTCCATCACTTCTTCCCAGGCCTTCCACCCTTCTTTGCACCGACATCACCAGTCTGCTTACAAACAAAAAAGAAGAAAAAATATTTTTTTCTCGTCATTTCATGGAAAAGAAATTTAGAACCTACCTTCGTGCAAACGTAAATGTAGTGTAAATTCGAGTCTAGAGCTGAGTGTGGCCCGATTGAGCCATCCTCGTTGATGGGAACTGGTTCTAAAAACTCCGGGGACGACACATCGTCAAATTTCTGTGACCCGGGTCTGGCTGCAAGCAAGAGATTTTTGTGACTCTGTCAAGGAGTTATATACTCAAAGAGAAGTTTTGGAAGTAGATTTCTTACGAAGAATGTGAAGTGTTATGTTCCAGTTCAATGCTGGAACCTGCAAGTGTGGCAATCGAACTCGAGGATCACCATATGTAACCTGGACAGCACAAGACACTAAAGTGTGAATCTCTTGTAGACATTGAAAGAGGAAAAGCTTACCAAGATGTATGAAGATCCTCCTCTCAAAACTCTGGTTGCATGCATGAAACAAAATCAGCCTTGCACGAAAAGATGGAAGCTGACAGCCTCACCTTGAAACTTCTTCAAGCATTTTCGCAGCACTTATGGCTGCGCTAGTCCCACACTGGAATAGAGCAATACACTTCAAACTCTCTCAAGAGAAATCACTAAGTTTCATGCTACTCACCAGGAGTGAATCCAGCATGCCTGCACAAAGCCAACAAACAAAAGGGGCATTTTTATGCTAGCAACTATAAGGTTTGGGATGAACTCTAGTACCTTTGTCTAGAACAGCATCGAAAGATCCATCCTCGAATGTTGATAAATCCCGCACATCCATTGTCATATCTGTGTAGACCTTGCAAATAAGACATCCACCCAAAACTTTAAACGCCAAGCCAGCCAAAGCAATTTCCCGACGAACGTACATTTAAGCTGGGGGACGTGCTGATACTTTTGCTGCATTGCCTCGATCACGACCGTGGAGATGTCAATATTGACAATCTCTTGATAGCCATCGTTCACCATATCCTCGGAAATAGCTGCTCAATTGATTTTCACAGTAAACATCCCTGTAGAGCCGAAAATAGAGAAGGAAATCGCTCACCGGCATTCCCACAGCCGACCATGAGGATCCGTGAAGTTTTTGGGACATATTTCTGGAGCAGCGCCGACAGACCTGCGTAGCGCTGGTACCAATCGAATGTGGAGGAATCGTTCTTGTAGCGATTGTCCCAGTAGGACGCCTCGCCATACGCCTGTGGATTCCCTCGCGTCATTCTTCCGCCAATCGTTCTCTCTTCCTCTCCCTCTGCCCTAATCCATCGCCCGGATCCAATCCAACCGCTTTGCGCCAATCCCAATTACTGATAATTAAAGCCTTGGATCCTGAGCCGCTTTGGAATGTGTGTTTGGGATCCGCGGTCCGGAGTTCCAATCCCCTACACGCGCAAATGGCGCCAAAACAAAAGCCTTTACTTAAGTTAGAAGATGTCAAATTTTGAAAAGATTCCTGGGCTGGGCGGCAAAGATGTTCGCCAGGAGGGCGTACGATCGCAAGCTTTTAGGGTTCATGGCCAGGACCTTCTCTGCGGCGGATGCGCCGTGCTCTTCGTCGCAGTGGATGCCAGATGATCCGAGCAAGCTCCCCCAGGCGCCGGGATCGGGCAGGAACGGCATGGAATCGATGAGCTCCTCGGCGTCTCGCAATCGCCCTGTTCGTCCGAGAAGATCCACGATGCACGCGTAGTGTTCTTGCATTGGCTGGATGCCGTGATCGGCAGCGATCGACAGGAAGTTCTCCCAGGCTTGGCTCAAGAGGCCGTCGTGGCTGCACACATGGAGAATGCTCATGAATGTGACCTCGTCCGGATCGACGCCCTCGAGCTTCATCGCGTGGAAGAGGCCGATTGCCTCGTTGGATTGCCCCTTGTAGGAGTATGCCGCGATGATCGCGCTCCAAAGAACAGGATCTTTGGGCGAGGAAGGGACGGAAATCTCATCGAACAAGCGTCTGGCATCCGACACAAGCCCGTGCCGCGCAAATCCGGCAAGCATTGCAGTCCGCGGCAGCAGATCCTGGCTGGGCATTCCATCGAAAACCTTCTTGGCGTCGATAATCTCACCCTTGTCGACGAAACCAGTGATCATCGCTGCGTGCGCGACTGAGTCCCGGGATGGAATCCTCTGGAACAGCGCCTTGGCGAGATCCAGAGCCCCGGCCATGAAGCAGCACTGGATCATCGCTGTCCAGGAAGCGATATTTCGAGCCGGCATCTCCTCAAACACTGATCTCGCCTCGTCGATGGATAATCTCGATTCCTGAGTGTAGATCGACAGCATGAGATTGCGCGACACCAGATCCTGCCGTGGCATTCGCTGGATCGTGTTCTTGGCGTCGAGAACAAGCCCTCGCAGCGCAAATGCCCACGCCATGGCATTCCACGCCGCCAGATTCCGGAATGGAATTCTATCGAACACTGCTTTTGCGTTGTCGATCTTTCCACGCAGAGAAAGAGCTCTGATCATAGCCGTGCACGATTCCAAGCTGGGAAATTCCAGGACTTGAAAGATTCGTGTTGCCTCTACAAGGTTCCCTCTCTGGGCATGGGCGCAAAGGAGAGAATTCCAAGAGATGGAATTGGGCATCTCCTCGATCAGCTCTCTAGCTCGCACCAGATCTCCACAGCGGCAATACGCAGCGATGATCGCATTGGAACACACGGGATTTCGATCGGGAATGCTCGCAAAGATCCTCTCTGTTTCCTCTAGATTTCCAGCGCTGGAATTCGCCATGATCAGCGTCGCGCACACCACGGCATCGTGGCAAGGCATCAGCTCGAAGATTTCCATAGCCGCATCGATGGATTTGACCTGCGCGTAGCAGACAATCAGCGCGTTCCAGGACGCCTCGTTTCTCGCCGGCATCGCCAAGAACATCGCTTCCACTTGATCGAGATCTCCACTCTGAGCGTGCGCCGCAAGAACAACGTTCCAGGAAATCACATCGTGGCTCGGCATCCGCTGAAAGAGAGCCAGTGCCTCGTCGAGAGGATCTAGGCTCCAGGCGAGCTCCTTGATCATCGTTGTCCACGCGATGACGCAGCGCTGATCCATTCTATCGAAGATTTCCCTGGCCTTGCGCAAATCCCCGTTCTGGGCAAATGCCCCAATCATGGAGGTCATTGTCACGGCACTAGGGTTCTTCATCCGGTGGAACAAAGCGATCGCCTCACTCGGCAATCCCTGGCGGACGTAGGCGCTGATCATGGTGTTCCAGGAAGCAGTGGTTCGATCTGGCATCTCCGCGAAGACATCTCGTGCCCTGCCCAGCTCTCCATTCGTGGCAAATGCCTGGAGCATCATATTCCAGGAGAAAACATCCGGATGATCGATAGCGGTGAAGACAGCGAGCGCATCTTTGGTGCTCCCACACCTCCCATACATTTGGATTGTGTGATTCATCACAAATGTGCTGGGGCGATGATCCAAATCCCGGATGCGCGAGTGGATTTGCTTCCCGCGAGAGAGATCCCGGCAGCACCGGAGTTGATGCACGAAGTTCTCGGCCCTGGACAGCGCTGGAGTGGGGAATCTCCCAGTTTTTGCGAGGAACATCGATGTGAATCATCCTTGTCGAGAGAACTTTCTTGGAAGAACAAACTAGGGTTCTTGGGCTACTAGAAGTTTTTCAAGAGCGATGTCAAATGCGTCTGGATAGCCGTCGAGGCTGGATTTCGCGTAGATAATCCTGGGAATGATGCGCGCGACAGCGTCCTGCATTGATGTCACCCGCGCCGCTGGGATTCTGGCGAGTTCTTGGATCACATCGATGCTCCCGTCGATGACGCTGTGATGCGGGAAGAAGATCGAGTAGGACTCTGGATCGCGTGGAAGATGCCACAGGTACTGTGTGTAGGCGGTGTGCTCGCTGAACACCACGGGGATGCATCCAGCGACGAGGCCATCGAAGAAACCCTTCCTGGTGGGGCTATCGCCGGGCGGCATCAGGCAGAAGATCGATCGCAAGGCGACGCAGGTGACAATCTCTGGATTTTCTTCGCAGTTGATTCTCTCGCAGCGCAGGATCGTGCACAAACTCTCGTGTCGCTGGCACTGTCTTCGTAGCGATCTTCTCATCGTCGCAGTGCTGCCGTTGCCATCGCGAAGAGCTCCAGCGAAGGACACCAGCAGGTCTCGCGACGATCCATTCACCACTGCCAGCCACTCGTCGATCTCCCGGCGCGAATCGGGATGGAATCCAGTCGGGTATGGCAGCGCCATCTGCGAGCTCCTCCACACGTCCCGCTCGATCAGCAGCTTGGTGGCGTTGTCCAGCTCCTGGATGGAGAGGAGACTGCTTCCCCAGCTCTCGTGATTCTCCTCGCTGCGCCCAAAGTCCCACACGATTCGCCCAAGAACAAGTACGTGATCTCTGCCTCGCTTGCGATTCCAGTGACGATTTCCTTGCAGGTATCCCAGCAACCTCTGGCCGAGCTTGTCACGCATCTGGACTTGCTTGGTGAAGAGGTACTGCGACACATCCAAGCCCGCGTAGTATGGAATGTAGAAGAGATTGGCGAGGTGGGGATCATCCGTGAGGCACTGGTACCGTCGAAAGCGCTCGTGGATCATGATCTCGACAGCAAACTGGCCAGTTCTATACCACGAGGAAGCTGGGAGCAAGCGGCAGGATGAAACCAGCGAGGCCATCTCCCCTGGGAATTGGAGTGAATCGAGAGCTCCTGAATCATTGGAAGTGGGAGGAGTGATAACTCTTGCCGGGAGGCCCAACCCGTGGTTGCCAAGACGATCGCACATCCAGGTGATTGGAGTTTGCGAGCTTCCACAGCATGCTCGCTCCAGGATTTGGCGGTTGAATTGGGGAGGCAATGGGTGGATGTAGACGCGCTTACCTTGGCAGTGATCACGCTGGAACAGGGGAAACGCTTTTCTTCCAAGAAATCTGGAAGAGAAGAGCCAGCGTCGATCGGCTTGGAACTTCTTTTCTTGCGAGATCCAATTTGTGAGTAGCAGTAGCAGCATTACAGTAGCGATTGATGCGAGCTTCGCCATTTCTCTTGGAGTGGGAGCAATACACATACTTGACAATGGGAGGTATCTCCATGAAAAAGGGTGATACTTTGCTACAAAAGTTTCCAATGTAAAGAACGATACTAGGACCAAAAGAGCATATTCTCTAATTTTAAAATGAACGGTTGAGATTAACTCGGCTATGTCAGCCCTAAAGCCTAGGGATTTAGGGTTTATGGAGGTGAGGATCGTCCCAGGGCGGGGAAGGGGATTGTTCGCGCTGCGCGATCTTTCTGGCGGTCACATTGTTCTTCGCGAATCGCCGCTGCTCGTCTATGGCGAGGCCGAGGCCACTGGGCCGTTCTGTGCCCACTGCATTCGTTGCGTTTCTTCCTCGTCCCCAGCGTGCGAATCGTGCTCAAAGGCGCGATTCTGCGACGAGCGATGCCGGGCAGCGGCGATAGCCTCGTCCCACACGCCGTGGATGTGCTCGGCGCTCCAGGATGTGGCGAGGGCAGGGATAGGTCACGAGGCCGAGACGCAGGCAAGGTTTCTACTCGCCGCTGTGAGCCTCGCGGCTCGCAATGCGGAGGTTTTTCAAAGGCTGCTGCTTCTGGATGGCCAGGCCAGCGTGTTCGCGAACGATCCAAGGCCCGCTGGAGTGGCTGAATTGGTCTTGGCAGTGTTGAGGACGCACTGTTTCGAGCTAGCAAAAGGACTTTCCTTGGAGTTGTTCTTGGATCTCCTGGCCAAGGACAAGATCAATGCCTTCGGTTTGATGGCTCCCAGCTCTGGGACTGCTCAGCGCAAGGTGAGAGCTTACGCTCTCTACGCACAAGCGTCCATGCTCAACCACGACTGCCTCCCAAACGCTTGCAGGTCCGCAAGATTGATTTGATTCCTTCGTTTCTTTCACTGATCTTTCACTGTTTACACAGATTCGAGTACTTGGACAAGCCTGGCGCATCCAACACCGATATCTACATTCGTCTCCTCCACGACGTGCCGCAAGGTAGCGAGATTTGTGTCAGCTACTTCCCTGTGAATTGGAACTACAAGGAGCGGCGGGAGAGGCTGGTCGAGGACTATGGTTTCGAGTGTAACTGCGAGCGATGCCGTGTGGAGCAGACTTGGAGCGACGGTGATGGTGAGGGAGACGAGGAAGAAGCCATGGAACACGACCAAACGGATGGAGATGGAGTGGATGAAGAAGAAGAGATGGACAAAGATGGCGATGGCGATTTCCCTCACGCGATGTTCTTCGTCAAGTACTTGTGTCCCGAAGAGAGCTGCGGTGGAACGATGGCGCCGCTGCCAGGCAATGCGAACCTCATGGAGTGTAATGTTTGTGGTCGCTTGAGAAGCGAGCAAGAGTTTATCGATGATCTAGAGCAGCACGGCACGGCACGGCACAGTGATTGAGAAAACCTGGAAATATACGAGAATTTTATTCCATTGATTCAGTTCTCTCGAAAAAACTGACCAAGCTATACTTATGGTTTGTCCCTCGAGCCAAAAGAAAATCAAAAAAAATCTCGAAAGATTACCGGTTAATCTCTTCGCAAAGCAATTCTTCGTCGCGGTGTTACGTCGACATGATTGGATCGTCCTTTTTCACCGACAGTCTCTCTGCAAAGATGAGAAGAAATCCATGAGCTTGAACGAGCAAAGCACGGGAAGACATACTCAAGTACTCGTAAGAGATGATCATCGCTGATCCCCACAGGGTCATGCTCAAGAACCGCGGCACGAGGCCCCTGTAAAGTCCCTTCCAGCCATCATCTTGTAGAAGTTGTCTCGCAGTTCCTACGACTGTGGGATTTCCTTCGCTACTCAGAACCTGGAACAAGAGTAAAAGTTTCAGCCTTGGTTCTTTGGAACCAGCAGAGGTACCTGGAGACGTGTTTTTATAGTGTCAAATGGCGCAGTAAGCGCTGAAGCACACGCAGCAGCCACCAGGCCACCAGCAGCTTGCACCAAAACCATCTCGCTCTGGCTCGGGATCTTGTGAGTTTCTTCTGTGTAGCCGAGAGCTCTGGTACAAACACTCACAGCCATGATAAGGCAGGCATACAAAACAGCTTGTTACCTCCAAAACACGCGCTGGCTGGTGCCGTAAGAAGCCCACCACACACCGCTTGTTGGGGAGTACGTGATGACCGACATACCAAAGCCTCTGTAAAGTCCCCGGATGCCATCGGCCTTGACAATCTGGCGAACAGCATCGATGCCACCCGCGTACTTGGTTGATCCTGGAGTCCCTTGAACCATCAATCTTTGGCTCACCTGGAGAGAACGATATAAGGTGTTACTTACGAACAAAAGAAACGAACGAAGAACAAGCAACGAAAGCTACTCACCACATCGAGCGGGACGAAGATGAACTGGGAGACGACTGAGGAGAGAAAGCCAGCAGCTCCATTCGCGATGGCGGCGGCGGTGGTGTCTGGAAAGTTGAGCTTGGACGTGAGGTTGAGCGCCGCGATCTTGGTCGTCTCGAGAGTTGTCAAGAACACCACTCTACTGGGAACAGTACCGGCAACGACGGTTCCAAATCCCCGGTAGAGTCCTCTCACTCCATCCGTGCTAAGAATCGATCTCACAATGGCGGGAGCTTTCATATTCACCGCCTCCCCCCGCGCCACTTGCATTCTCGTCTTGACGACGGTGATCGGATAGAGCGCCGCCGACACGCCCGAGAAGAGGCCTGCCCCTACCAGATAGAATTTGGTTTTGTCAAGCCTACAAAAGAAATCGATCGATCTAAGGAAAATGCGAGGCACTGCTAGCGATCTACAAAGCCAAGGGATTGCCGCGCTCACCTGTCCCAGTTGATCTCCGCTTGCGGCACTCCCGGCTTTTGCTGCGCGGCCATCGGTGCCATAGACCTCACAAGAACCCTAAAATCAAAATATTTTAATACTCTCCATAGAACTCTTCTTCTTGCGACTGCGCATAGAGTCCTCCCTCGCAATTTTCTTCTTCCAGATGCTCTTCCTCTTCTCCTTTTTCGTGCCCATCTTCCTGTCATCTTCGCGTCCACTGCCTTGATAATCCATGGGATTGATCGCAGTTCCATCTTCTTTTGTGTTCATCAAGTTCTCCTGTTCGGATCAAACATTGACGAACTTGATCGAGAGGAATGCTTTCGCCGGCACTTGCAGTACATGTCGACTAGGGAGCTTGCGACGCAAAGGGCCAGCTCGTGGATCTCGGTCAAATAGCTTGTGCAGAACATCAAAGTTAACTCGTGATCCCAGTTTCTACACACAAACAAGCTTAAAGTTTTATCAATCGACATAGCTCTCTCACACCTTTGCTTCCAGCATCTGACGTGCTGCCTCTGCCGCGGGCTCTGCCGGAGGTTTCTTTTCAGCAACTTTTCTCGATTTTCTGGCCTGGACACATCCAAAGATGCTGGGTTTGAGGTGCAGTGGCAAACTCACATTCAAAAAGCCAAAGTCATTCGTGAAGCTGTTTACAACACTTTTCCAGACTTTGACATGGTTGGTTTCAGAGATAAGAAGGTGAATAGGAGGAGCTGGTGCATGATTTGCTTCGTTCTCAGCAGCTGAGGCCGCTTGTTTTTGAAGAAGGCAATGTGAAGCATAGATACGAGTGTCCAGAGACATTCATTCGCATTATAGTTGATGTGGTTTATGGGCAGCAAAGGAGACTTTTAAAGGCTGTATCAAAGAAGCATCCAGTCAGAAAGTATGAGGCAGAGCAGTCAATTGTGGACCTGTACACAGCTAAATTTCTAATTGATGGAACTTTAGCAATCTTCTTCGACAAACTTTTGAAGCCCACATGTCATGGCTACGGTACTACAAGAAAGAAGGATATTTTTCGTGTTGGTAGTAGCATTGTTGAGGCTGTGGTTTAAGACAGGTGTCGTGCGTGCTCTAGTGGTTCGAATCCCTCAACTCAGTGAAGAGGTACGCAACATCTAAATTAAAGGACTTATCACTTGAGGTAAATCAATTTCCTTTGATTTGTCTCTTGAATAGAAATGCTTTCTAATATTTCCTCTTTTCATTTGGTTTTGATCAGAGCATAGTGAAATGGCTTGAGTATATGACTGAAGCATTTTGGGACATACAAAGTTCAAGAGAGCAGAGCTTCCAGAAAAAGGTATATTTGGACGCGGAGTTGACAAATACTCCGATGACAATCTTTAAAAGCTTTTGATTTTTTATATTTTGATTGTTTTAGAATGCGCGTCATATTGCCACAGCAAATCTAGTTGGACATAGTGTAAGTACTTACATAGCATTATTTCACAAAATAAAGTTGGAAATTAATAGAAGAAGGTGTCAATATTTAAGTTTAGTTCTAATTATCTACTTATGAGAAATTCGAGATGTAAGTTGATCTTTACTTAAATTTCTACGTCTACTCAAAGTTTATTTTTACAACAGAATGTAAAGCCTAGCAAACACATCTCTTAGATGGATGCTGCTATACAGAAAAGAGATTAAGCACAAAAGGACAGTCTTAGAACTCTAAATCAAAAGGTTTGTTGAAGTTTCAGATTTGTTCTTATTATTGTTCTTCTAGCAGGTAGGAAAAAGAAGAACAGAGGCTATGGAGAATAGTGAAGAATGAAGAGTTTGCAGCCAATGTAACTTCAGGTGCAAAATCTGCAATAGAAAAAGCAGGAAAAATTGTGGTATGGAAATTAAAGATTAACTTGTATGATCTATGTTCTTAGGTGGTTCCTAGTAATCAATATGAACTACATCATAAGAAATCATCTATTCATTATGGATCCTAATGGAGGTTTGATTGGTCATGGAAGAGTGGTGCCATGCTCAGCAAATTCCACTATTCACTGCCAAAAGCTTAGGCCAATCCATTTAAGCATCAACATATGAAGCATTTTACTAACAGTTTAGTTCACACATGTTTGAACAACTTATAGGAAACAGTTGGGTGATAAAGTACATATGCAAAGCAATCACTCTAGAAGTTCAATCTCAGGCATATATAACTTGCTTTTTATGACATATATAAAGTTCAATGAAACAGGTTGAAAAAAAAATGATTGTAATGTTATTATTTATTCTTTAGCAAAGGAAAATTGGTATAAAGTTCAATGAAACAGGTTTAATGTTATTATTTATTCCTTAGGAAAGGAAAATTAGGTTGTAATATGATCAATAACTTTTCAATCTCTTCAATCTTTGTTACCATTTGACTACTAATACATGTTATGACTTAAGAGTTAAAAAATCTAATTCACTGCTTGAAATTTTTTGGAAGTAATTGTACCTTTTACAATTGTCCAAATTTCAACCACTTATGCTTAAGAGATGTACTGATAAGTCATAATATAATTAAAACAAACTAACCTTTAATTTGAATATCTTTCAATTTCATGGATTTGAAGCTAATGAGGATAAAATTATTGGTTCTTGCTTTGCAAACATAAGTATATCTTTCACAGATGAATTTTGGTGTTGATGTTTTTATACATTAGTTTTTATATTGTTTAAAGTAAAGTTAGAGAAACACTGGTAGTCAATTGGATTGAAAAATGCCAAGTACTTGCTATTTGTGGAAGACACAAAAATAAATTATAATTTAAATAATGTCACTTCTATTTCAATGCAATTTCATATTTTTAATTATCTCAATTATTAAAGTTATTAATTTATGTGATTTGTAAAAGTAAATTTTTAGCAATCATTAGAAAAACAAATTGAATCACTTAAGCCATACACCACTACTTTTATATCTTCCTTGTCCAATCCTTAGTAAGGGTGAAAAGAAAAGGCATTTCAAATAAGATATTAACAATAAAAAAACCTTTTAAAACAAAATTTTTTTCCTTAAAAATTTAAAAAGTGTAAGGTCCAACTATACAATTACAATGCCGTATACTAATATTAGTGTAATGGATTTTGGTAGCCATCAAATTAATTTCAATCCGAACCACTTGATCCTATATACAAACTAATACAAACTAAACTTTTGGGCTAATTGATATGCATATTTTCTATATTCCTTTTCCATATTTCATACATTCATATTGGTGGAGGTGAGGGGCACCTTTGATTGTCCCTGATAAGTGCTTGGATTTAAGATTTTAGTTTAGATTTAACTTTTGTATTGTCTAGATCTAGTTTTTTCCATTTCCTTTCTTTTGTCCTTTCTATTCAGGATTTTGGTTTAGATTTAACTTTTTGCACTGTTTAGATCTCCCTTTCCTTCTAGCTTTTTTTTTCATTTCTCTTCTTTTGCCTTTTCTTTTTCATTCATCTTTATGGTAGATTAGCAATCTCTTCCTCCTTTAACTCTAGAGTGACAATTGGTACAATTGCTTGATGTTATGCGATTGCAATTAAACAACCAAACTTAGTTGATGGTGGCATTCATGACACGTGGTGCAACTCCTCTTACTCTTGGTGCCAATCCTCACGTTCGGCCGGAGTTCTTTCGCGGGAATTCTAGGGATGATGTGTACCATTGGTTTAATCACTTCACAATGATTGCCATATATTATTCTTGGGATGATGCTCGATGTTTGCGTGAGTTTCCCACATGTCTCAAAGGGACGGCATTGCCGTGGTACAATGGTCTGAGCGCAGCCATTCATGGGGATTGGAGTGTTCTCCTGGACATCTTCAAACACGCATTTAGACATGTTGATGATTGTGATGATGCCTTCTAATAATTGCATCATCTTTGTCAAGGGCCATCTAAGTCAGTGATGCAATTTAGCATTTGTTTCTGAAGCCATTTGTTTCTGAAGCCTCTTGCTTCATGCGGAGCCAAATATGTTAGAGTGGATCAAGCTAGAAATGTTGTGGCTAGCACTTTATCAAGATTTTATCAAAATTGTGCATGCATTTGCTCATGCCACCCTTGACAATGCTCTTTGCTTGGCACAACATTATGAGATGTCACTTTTTTAACTTCTCGTTGCACATCCTTCAGCTCCACTTCCTGTGAGTGATAGTCCTATTCTAATGAAGGTTGATGCTGCTACTGCTCAAGTCCAAGGACAAGTGCAAAGACGTGGTCGTGCCCGTGATGTTTTTTGCTGGGCATGTGATGAAGTTAGTCACACTTATCGGCACTGTCAGCATTTTCCAAATTAGTGGCCACCATTTTCTAGGTGGAGATCTTGGTGTCAACAATGTTTTGTTGGTGTTGCTGTAATGGAAGGTCTGGACACCGAGATGCATCTGGGAAACGAAAAGTTGCAAGAGTAACAAAGGCATCTTATGCGAATATGTTAGTGACCCCTCCATCTTTTTTTTTAGAGTATCATCAAAGGGTTGACTTAACACCCAGTTCATCCAATATTTACTTTCCAAGCTCGTTTTTATAACAAATGGACTCCTTTTATTCTCTTCGTGTTGGTTGATATAAGTTTGAGTTTATCTTCTATTGCTCAACCTGTTACCACACATTGCCATCTAAACTTGCATCATGTAGTGGAGCCAGTTTTCATTCTTTATAACAACGGCCGTACACATGCATGTGCACATTCTTTTTCGATCTCTCCAACAATCTTTGTGTTGCAACAGTTGACCGGCTCATGAAGGAGTATCTTGATCTCTTTGAATTTGACATATCATCTAGGGCAAAGATTGCCACATGTCATCCGATTCCAACCGAGGATGCTTATTCAATCAAGGTTTTTCTTCGTTATCGGTCACTTAAAGAGATTAAGATTTTACATGCAAACATCAAGGAGATGTTGAAGAAGGGTGTTATTCAAAAGTCATGGAGTCTTTAAACATGTGAACTTCATCTTGTGATGAAGTCTAATGGGAGTATTTGTTTTTGCATTGACTATTGTTCGTTAAACAAAGTGATGATCCCGGATGTGTACCCTCTTCCTCACTCTACTATGTAAGCGACTAATT